GGAATTTTCCTGGAGTCAAACTGGAAGGGAGAGAGAGAGAGAGAGAGAGAGAGAGAGAGAGAGAGAGAGAGAGAGAATGTTTCTGTTTGTACTCTTCACTGGCCAATTTGCCCTCTTTCTTTCTCCTCCTCCCCCCACCCAAAGAATCATTTTGAGTTCAGACTTACCAGTTTTGGTCTAATTGGACCACAGTTCTCCTGACTGGCATCGTGCCCCTTCACTTCTGAAGTGGGGCAACCCTCTGGAGTCTCGCTTCTCCCTAGGAGCAGTTACCGAACAGTCTAAAGTTTGAAACTGTTATGTCCTCAAAATGTGCCAAAGTTTTTACTAGTGCTTACTGGGAAAGTGGGACCATTTCTTCCCTCCTCTGCGCTCTTTCTTGGAGCTGAGGCACAAATCTGAGAAAACTAACCCAACACTAGTCCATCTGCTGATGGATGCCCTCAGATAATTAGGGGTTCTGCCTTGCTCTTAGGCCCTGCATAATACCACACCAGTATGTACAGGGGTCAGATACAGTAAAAAATCCCACTTAAAAAAAAAAAAACCCTTTGATTGGGGAAACAGAGCAGGCCCACCAAGTTACCAGGGGCAGTTAGACTGTAACCAAATAGAAAGTGGTCTGTTGGCAATGCTTGGTTCATTCACCACCATGAGTGGCAGCAGCCACAGCGGCCACTGAGCTGACATAACTACAAGCTTATCTATGGTCATGGAACTCTAAGGTGACCAAATGTCATAGGTAGCAAAGTCATCTCTGGGTGTTGAAGAGCTAAACCCACAATGTGCACACCAGGGCTCTGCTTTTCCTGGCCCTGAACCTACTTGGCTCGTGTGTGCTGTCAGATAAGTGTGGCCAGGGCGTGATTTTCTCATTCTGTAGCAATTTCAATGTTGCTTTATTTTAAAACTTACAGTCTATGGAGATTGGAGTAACAAAGATATTAAAAAACACTTTTGATTCTTTAGCAGAATAGAAGCACTTGTTCCTAAGATTAAAAGCTAGAAATAAAAAACATTTATCCGAATTATTCTTCCATCTGTATCAAGAACGGGTGTTTTGGCTGCACAGTCGTGATGAACACCTTTAATCCCACCACTCGGGGGAGGCAGAGGCAGGAGGATCTCTGTGAGTTTGAGGCCAGTCTGGTCTACAGAGTGAGTTCCAGGACAGCCAAGGCGACACAGAGAAACTCTGTCTCAAAAAAAAAAAAAAAATGTGTGTTTCATGTATCATTAGAAGATAAGGTCAAGGCCATGGTTTGCTGTCAGTGGTTGGTCCTTCCTTGCATGTATGTTAGACCACATCGCTGTCCGAATAGTTTTAAGTGGATGTGACACAATTCAAATAAAACGTAAAAGAAACAAAAAGTTATCAAAGTAGAAAACTTTTTCAAATTTTGTCTTCATACATAAGAAAGTCACATGGGGATCATTTGCCTATTTCCCAAAATATAGTTATTGCCATGAAATAACTATAAAGCAGCTCCTAAGAACAGTGGGTGGGCATGTTCTTACTCACGGAGAAGCTAAAGCAGGTTGACCTCAGAGAAGGAGCGAGAATGGTGATTACCAGAGGCTGGGAAGTATAGGGGACGGGAAAAGACAGAGGCTGGCTAACAGTTGCCGAAACAGTCAGGTGAGAAGAGCTCGGTCTCGTGGTCCACAGCACAGGACCTCAGGAGGCTTGGCAGTGACTTATCATGTGTGCTGTGAAGAAAGGTTTGTAGGCATCAACACTCCGATAAAGGGCTTAAGGAGGTGGCAATGCTACTTACCCTGACTGGATCATTGCATATGTACCTGTACCTAATAATAATAACACACATTTATCATAACTTGAAAATAGATCTGAGAGCCAGGAGTGGTGGCACACACCTTTAACTCCAGCATTCAGGAGGCAGAATCAGGTGGGTCTCTCTGAGTTCAAGGCCAGCCAGGGCTACATAATGAGACCCTGTCTTAAAATAAGTGAATAAAAATAAACAAATATCAGGAAAAATTGTAGATGGAAATCAGTATAAGTTTAGAATTAAGAACTTAAATAACCCACTCTTCCTGGCCAGCTATGAAGCCCAAACATCTAGGAAGTTAAGAATTATGTTCGTTGACAAAGCTTCCATTAAGTGGTACTTGGGGAACTCCAGAGCACAGCCAAGGACTACCAGGAACAGCAGGCTCAGGCACGAACCCAGCTGAACTTTTACATTTTTAAGAAAAACCTACCAGTTCTTAGAATGACTCAAACAGAAGATCTGTCCAGTGGGACAGTCCTAGCCCAGGTGTGTGCCCACACCCATCATTCTCCATGAAATAATGAACTCCTGGAGAGTCTCCTATGTTTGATTTAAAATAATCCATCTCCAGCACATTCCTGCCATCTGCAACAGTCAGGAAGGACAAAGAAATGCACTGCTATCGCATACCCATGTGAGAAAGGCTCCATGCTAAGAGGGTGGGGTCTACCTGCCTGCGCAGGTTCTACCCACAATGCCCTTTCCACTGAGGAACTCAGTGCTGAGAAATGGCTCAAAACCAGGAACAGCAGGAAGCCACAGAGCGAGCTGTTTCTTTGTGCCTTAGGGAAGCTAAGGAGCGTGTGGCTTTTTGCTGTAGAAACTATAGAAGAAGGTGGTTTGTTGTTAGGATTTGGAGAGTAGGTGAAGGGCCTAGGAATGCCTATTATTGCCCTAAATACAAAACAAAACAGCAGAATGAACCACGTTAGCTCCTGGAGATTGGAATTCTCCTGAGCTATAATCCACCTGCCTTCATAGCTATCATATCATAGCTATCAGTCATAGTTACCACTCATGGAAGTATCAAAAACGATGCCTCGTACAAAGAGATCTCGACATTATAGTAAACCAGTAATTTCAGGGTCAATTTCATATTAGTTAAATACCAGCCAGTCATCGCCCTAACCAGCATCTGAGTGTACCGAAATGTTTAATCTCCTCAGATACCTCCTGGTTCGTAGCTAATGGTCAATTTAAGAATATGATGGTGATAGTTTTAAAAACTCAGCAGAGACCATCAGAGGTCCTGAGACTATTAATTCTTAGACTACGGATCTCAAAGAGGACACCCACCTTCACACAGACAGCATGCACAGTCCTAGAGGCTACAACCAGACTCCTGCCTGGTAACCAGCCAGCTCTGGTCTTTAATGAGGCTAGACTCCCTTATTAGGCTGTTTATAGAGCCATTCCTGTTAGCTCCAGGAAACATACTTGTAAAGACATTCTGTGGCATCTCAGATACAACTAAATTCTTTCCATGATGCCACATTACTTGTCTGGAGCTAAGTTTAAGAAACACCAATGAACAAGGAGTTGGCACATTCAGCCAGGCCCCGAAGCTAACTTTTGCCAGTCTTGGCTAATTCCACCAGGATGCTGAGCTGGTCCTATTTTGTCATGGTCTCATCAAGGAAGTCACCTCAGGCTACGTTATGACTTGCATAGATGAGACCTAGACATGTTTGCCTTTGTGGGTTCCTTCCTCCACTACAAACAAACAAACAAACAAAAACTCCTAAGAAAAATACAATCCAGACTAGACTATATTTATTTCCATTCTGATTTGTTTTTGTTATTGTTCTCTGTTTTGGGGTTTTGGTTTCTTGAGATAGGGTTTCTCTGTGTATTAATTCTTAGACTAAGCCTTTGGCTGTCCTGGAACTTTGTAGAGCAGGCTGGCCTCAAACTCACAGAGATCCGCCTGCCTCTGCCTCCCTGAGTGCTGGGATTACGGGCATGGACCACTGCACCCAGCTCATTCTGATTTTTTAAAAAATTAAAATAACTTTATGGTTCCACCTCAAAACACACACAGAGAGAGAGAGAAAGAGAGAGAGAGAGACAGAGAGAGAGAGAGCCACAAACAAGCAAACAAATCAGAACTATGTTGTGAGACTGAAAAGATGCCTCCTCAGTTAAGGGCACTGGCTTGCTCTTCCAGAGTGCCCAGGTTTGATTCCTAGCACCCACATGGCACCTCACAACCATCTTCAACTCCCATTTCAGGAGTCTGACACCCTCTTCTGGCCTCCGCAGGTTCCAGGCATGCATGTGGTACACAGACATACAGGCAGACAAAATATCCATACACAAAATTTAAAAAACAAAAAGCATGCTGTAGCTATCTGCTGTGCTGTTGTGCTTCTGTGTGCTTGTAAGTCTCTAGGGATGGCCTGTTCTAGGGTGCACACTTTGCAAACTGTAAAGACCTATGCAAGCACAGAATGTGATTTTTACCCATCAAGCACCGTTCTAACATTCAAACTCTAACACAGCTTGGAGGTCATATAGTCACATAATCCCACCTAGAACACAGAATACTCAAACGTGTATGTGCACAAATGGGTGTTTATTAAGGCAGGGTGTTTACTGAACACAGGGCTTGCCAATTCTAGCTAGTCAAACAAGCCAGCTGGTTCTGGGGATCCCTTGTCTCTGCTTCTGCCTCTCAGGTGCTGGGATTGCAAGCAGCCACCACACCTGCCCGGCTGTTCTGGGGACTCTAACCTCTCGTCCTTATGTTTGTCTCATAAGCATTTACTCCACAGAACCATCTCCCAGCCCTAGGACACAGAGCACCACAAGGCACATGAAAATGCACTAGTCAGTGCCACGGTGTCTCAGTACACACCTAGGCAAAAGATAGATGTCACAGTCAGACAAAGGTCAGGGTACTGGGGCTGCTGAAGCCTTGGATGCTCAGCAGAGGGCAGGCTGTCCTTCTAGATCCTAAAAGGAGGAGACTGTAAACGGAAACTATTGAATTTGTTAACAAGCAATGGCCAGAATGGGGGCAAGTGCCAGTACAAGATGGGTTTTGACTGCTCTGAAACGGGTTTTTGATTAACTTGAGTGTGTGAGTATGTGAGTGAGTGTGTGTGTGTGTGTGTGTGTGTGTGTGTGTGTGTGTGTGTGTGTGTCAGGTGGAGCCTAGACTTGCTAAAAGAAATGGCTTCTGTTCCTACAGGTGGCTATGGGATGGATGTGACCAAGAAAAACAAGCGAGATGGCACTGAAATCACTGAAAGAAGTAAGAGTGTTTGGATTTCTTTTACTCATAACTGTGTTAGCTCATCTGAAAGCAGAGACAATAATCCACTCATGTTCCAACACCGCCATCACTGTCTCCAAATACTTTCACAGACTCTACACCCTTTCCCATGAGCGTTCTTCTGGATCTTTACTTTCATTTACTTTCATGCTTTTATAATCAAATGAGTTCTGCATCTTGTTCCAGGATGAAAATTGCCATTTCTGGGCCCAGGAGTGTGGCTCAATGGTAGACTACCTTTCTAGACTTGGGTCACTATCCCCAGTACCACAGAAAATAAAAAGAGAAATGGAGAAAGGGAAGGAGGAAGGGCTGAGAGAAGTAGGGAAGGAGAGATGAAAGAAGAAAGAGAAAATAATTTTTCCTGTGTGTAGTTAGTTACCATGAGCAGAATTTTAATACTTGTGGTTTGATGACTGCCTAATTCTTGTGGTTTATTTAGCTCTGTCTCTACCTAGGGATATAGGGCAGCAGAAATCTAAAAGCATAATATCTTATGTCAGAGGCTGGGGCTAACAAGACACTGGTGTCCCCACCCAAATCTCCACTCAAGCTGGAAACCACATACACTTACTTCATGGAACTGTCCAAATGATAAATTCAGGGGTGTGTAAACAGTCTCACCAGCAATTCTAAATTAGGAAACGTTTTCATTTATTGTGTGACTTTCATTTATTTCCAACAACAACAAGAAAAAAATCTGGCTCCACAGACTTGGAACTTTAGGTTAGAGAATAATTGATTTTTATGTGTCAAAAGAACTCCGGAAGGTCTATACAGTGAGAGGTTACTGGGCACTCAAGGGCCATCGTTCCAATGGAGCCGCTGCACCTTCCTATGGAAAACCATCCCCTTTTATACCTGGCGTACCCTTTCCACTGCATCCTGTCACGCCGTGGTCTGGGAGGACAAGACGACAAATCAGAAGCATGTCCTGTGAAGGACAGAGGTGGGCGGACAGCGGGGCTGCACATGGCACAGAGTGACCTGAACCATCTCCTTCCACCCTGCTCTCCCTTCTTCCCCATGCACGCATGCGCTCCACACCAACACCTCCATACACATGTGCACATATATACGGAAAGCCCTCCTCCAAAGAAAGAAGCGACTCCCACCAGTTGCTGTGGTTTGCTCATGCGTGCTGTGACACACGTGAACTGACACACATAGTGGCCCAGCCGGGTGAGGCCTGAAAGAGGGAGAGGCAGTGTTAACGGCGACAGTCAGACAAAAAGTTGGTCCTGCTATGCTACTCCAGGAGAATGACTCCAGAGAAACAAGGTCCTGCTTCTGGCCGGTGTTTTCCCACACAGGTGACGCTGTTAGCGTCTGACTTGACACCAGAGAAACTGCAGGTAGTGTGGTGAAAGGGCACCTTTCTCAGAGTCTGCTCTCAGATTCGCGTATGACTCCTACCACAGACCTCCACAGCGATTTTCTTAGGCTGCGCTTCCTCTCCACACCTTCCACACTCACGCATGCCCGTGAGGGTCCCAGGATGAGTCACAGTACCCTAGAGGCCCCTCCGAATTCATCAGCTGGCCCAGGAGTTTGGGGGAAGGAACAGAGCAGAGATACTGCGTGTGGCTCTAAGAAAAAAGAGACTAGGCCTGCCTGCTTCAACCTGAAAGTGAGGCCTGGACCTGAGCAATCAGTGAGAGGCCTGGCTGCCATGACAACTCATTCTCCTAATCAATGGGTAACTAACTTCTTTAGGCATCAAAGAGAAATTTTATATTCTAGATGCATTAAGCCTCATTGCTATTGTTCATATTTTCAGATTTCTTGTCATAAGACACAGCTATTCAAAAACTCTTGCTGAGCCTAATGCTTAAACCTGTGGCAGACACCAGGCCCTGCCAAAAACCAGCAATGCCAGTACATGTCACGGCATCCCCTCTTTACTTTGTCTTTTCCAGTTGTCACGGAAACAGTAACTACCAGACTCACATCCTTACCACCAAGTAAGTATCTCTGTCTTTGTCAGTCTCCTGTGAAGGCACTACGCTGTGCTCTTGAACATGGGAGTTCACTTTCCCACTGAGAAAATCCGCTCTCTGAAATGTTCTTTTGCTAGCAGCTATGTGATGTGAATTTAAACACCACAACAGCTACCAGTTTGTGGTGTGGTGGAGCGCACAGCTTGCTTCAGTCTAATCTAAGGGCGTTCCCATCACTCCCTCTTGTTTATTCATAGTCACGCTCTCTGCTCCTCTGCTCTCCACAACCCCTCAGAACTCTGTCTGCTGTCTGTCTTCATGGGTTTGCTAATCTAGTCAGTAAAACACCAGAAATCCTACCCTCCAGGAGCACTCCACTTTTGTTCAGGAGTTCCTAAGGATTTGTCGGTGGATTCTAACAGCAGAGATCAAGTCCAAAGTCCCAGCACTATCCCTGGGCCCTCATGGGTTTTGGCATAGGGAGGACCCACCCATCTGTGGCCACAGCAGGGTGGCAGAAGCAAGTCAAAGTGTCATCCTGAGCCACCTCTAGTCCTTCCAGCACTCCTAGTGGCTGATGTGTCTGGGCCCTGATCGGGCATTCGAAAGAAGCAAAGCCCAGCAACGTTCACCTGAGATGGGGGAGCTTGCATCACTCAGCTGCCTCGGCTAATTTCTTGCTGAATGGCTTTCTGTGCTCCGCCAGAATGCTCTCATTCCACCAAGCATGATATTCATTCCAGATGTCTGTACTGAAAATAAGTAGGGGAAAGGGCAGCTTGGAATTTGGAGTGTGGTAAAGGAGAGCTCCCAGCCGGCAGGGTCCTGGTGAGAAAGGAGGGGAGGAAGAGGAGACCCTCTGACCTGGATCCACCTTGAGGCTGTCACCTGCTTTTGCAGAAGGGAGCACCAGCAATGGATACGCTAAGACAGGCTCTCTCGGTGGGGGGAGTCGGCTGGAGAAGCAAAGCCTGACTCATGGCAGCAGCGGTTACATCAACTCAAGTAAGCGGCCGCTGGTGTGGGGGCGGGATGGTGGATAGCGATGGGGAACAGTGAAAATCCACCAGCGGCAGTCAGAGTGCAAGGGGGACCATCACCCCGTCTGCCATTCATTCCACATCCCCCCCCACGAGTTACCCAAATGACAAGGGAAGGGAGGATTGACTCTCCAATCACCAGCCTTGAACACCTATGTAAAAATGGGTCCAATTTTCCTTAAATCTCCAGAACAGGTAACACTCATCGGTTCGGAAGCCCTCCAGGGGAGGTGGTTGCTCACACTGACTCTGTTTAAGCCACACCTTTTAGGAAAGTTTACAAGTGAGCACTGAGCCGCTCTGCTGAAGGCCTCTAAGGCAGGGTGCCCAGCCAGGCAAGCTCCCAACGAGAAAACAAAAGAAAGCAGAAGTATGGCAGAAACAGGCACACTCACATAGCCAACCCTGGAAGCCACTAAGTCCCCGTAGAGAAAATAAAAAGGAAACGTAAACTCAGAAGGGCCTGCCCAGCCACCTGTCTTCCAGCCCCGCTGAGCAGGGGCTAGTCCTCAAGAAAGCTACAGCATCCTTACCGTGTGTGTGTGTGTGTGTGTGTGTGTGTGTGTGTGTGTGTGTGTGTGCTTGTGTCTGTGTGTCTGTGTGCTTGTGTCTGTGTCTGTGTGTGTGTGTGTCTGTGTGCTTGTGTCTATGTGTGTGTGTGTGTGTGTATGTGTGTGTGTGTGTGTGTGTGTGGACATCCCTCTCACACACATCCATCTCAGTGTCTGCCCAGAAGGCAGCAGACTGAGTTTCAATGTAGTGGGATCATCTCCGGCGAGGCAGTGCCCTGAGGATTTATACTCTTTGCCAACGGCAGGTGGGAGCATCCGAGGCAGCGCGTCCACCTCCAGTTACCGGAGAGCTCACTCGCCAGCCTCTACCCTGCCCAACTCTCCAGGCTCCACTTTTGAAAGGAAAACGCACGTGACCCGCCATGGAACTTACGAAGGTATCTGCAGAAGAGAGCCGATCTCTTCCCGGTGTGACTTCCCTCGTCCTGTGCATGCCGGCTTCTTGGCCTCTCCTGTGTGTCGGCACTCCGCCCCATCTTTCTCCTCACTTCTTGATTTCCCTTGTGGACTCCCAGTACTGGAAGATTTATACATTCCTTTACGCGCATTCACGTATCTTCTCATTTTTTAATCCACTTCATCACTTTTCAGCTAGCATGTTATCGTGTTTTACACTGAATGACGTGCCTTGTGGATCTTGTCTTCAAGGTCCCAGAGTCTATAGACAATTGGAGATGACAGAGATAGCAGTAACACCGAGTAGACAGGGGTTACTACTTTCCACTAAGAGAATCAAGGATGTCTCTATGGAGGTGGTGGTACCTCAGCCTGGGCATCCTAGTGATACTCATAGATGGAAGGACAGCACAGTCCAGGGTGGGAAAGCGCTGGAGTACAGGACAGTCCAGGGCTAAAGATGGAGTGGGGGGCCCAGACTGTGCTAGAATTTGACTTTAGTCTCCACGTAAGAAGACACAGAGGTTTTTTGAGCCAAACAGTGGATCATATTTGAGCCCCAGAAAGCCATGGGTAGATGACAGGTTAAAAGGAAATCTTCAGTAGTCAAGAAGAGAGAAGTATGGGCTAGATTCAGTGGAGAAGGAAGGCCAGGAGGTGTGAGGTAAAAGTTGGTGGGCTTTGCGGTTGAGGAGCCATAAGGAGAACCTGGAACCAGCCATCCCCCTGGGGTTTCAACTGCAGACTGGGCTCGTGGTGGTGTCAGCAGCTGAAACAGGACACTCAGGAGAAGGCCCCTGCTTGGGTGAATTCCGCTTGAAGAACCTCCTGAAACCCTCCCAGCTACGGGGGTTCACGCTGCTGTAGCTGGCACCCCAACCCCTCCCACAGGAAGCCTTATGGAGAGCAGTAGCCATTTGTACTAAGTGTTCCATCTTCTCTCCAGGGAGCTCCAGCGGCAACTCTTCCCCTGAGTATCCGCGAAAGGAACTCGGTAAGTCCTCGGCTTTGTTTCTGGAGAAGTGCTTTAATGGGGCACTAAGAACAGGCCTGACTGGTGGGCTGTGGGGCAGGGGTTACCATGAGCCAAATGGATTCCTCTAAAAGAGTACGGCTCCTGTTGAGTTGCTTGCCCCTTCACTCTGAGGCATCTTAAGGAGACTGGCAGGATTGTTAACTTGCTCCCATTAGCATTTGCTCATGACACTCTTAAAATGGCAAGCTGCTTGCACAGGCTCATGCTAGGACACATAAGCCCCTGAAGGCTCAGAATAACTGTAGGGACTCTTCCTTCCACGGGCTTCACAGAGGACCAGCTACGGAGGGAGAACAGCAGGCACAGGGCACAAATGCCTGACGTCCTAGCGCCTCCTCTGTAACGCCCTTGCCAGGGCCACATCATACACCCGGGCCTCCCCAAGGGGTGTCTTCACTTGACTTTATGTCTTAGGTCTGTATTTGTAGACTCTCAATGTACAGATGAATCAAGGTCAGGGCCAGTGATTATGAAATGATTATAATTTTCTATATTTGCTTACACTAAAAAAACTAAGGCAGGCTTCAATAAGGAAAGATTTAGCAGTCTTTGGGTCCATTTGGCAATGTTTTCAGCTGGTCCAAATGTATCACACACACACACACACACACACACACACACACACACACACACCTCTAAACATTAGCTTGCTCGACATTTTTTTAGCTAAATCGCATTGAGATGTTGAAAAACATTATTTACACTTCAGCATCTGGGAATCATTTATTTAGCATCTGCTATATAGAAAACCCCCTGTCTGGATTTAGACACTGTGAAAATATCCCCAAGTGTCAAAAATATTCAGCACGGCATCTTTTATATATGCCTAAGACCACCATATTTCTCTTTCTCAGCATCTTCTGCAACCAGAGGACGAAGCCAAACACGGGGTGAGTACCATTACAAAATTCAGTTTCTTTTCACTCTGAGCAACTAGTACCTGGCGGCCTGGAGACAAGAAGCCGCACATACAAGAATAAGTAAGACATGGCATCTGCCTGAATGAGCCTAGAGTACTGACAAGAGCCTTGGCCAACTCCATGAGCATGGGAAGGGGCTACCTGCTAATGACCTAACCAGCTCCGTGAGCAGGGATCCGAAAAAGCAGTGACAATCTGAGCAATACAGACGCCACGTCTGTCCTTACAGCTGGCCTCCCAGACACACTTTCATTTGCCGTTATATGCCAAGACACGCAAAAGCCCCTCTTTTTCAAATTATTGCAAGGGACAGTTTTGTAAACTTGGCGTCCAGAGATGATAGAGGAGAGAAGGACCCTAGGAAGAGCCACCCTAGCAAAGCCCTGAGTGGCCACAGGAGCCTTGCGTCAGGGTGGGCAGAAGCAGAGTCCTTGGCAGGCTTGGCGTGTTCTTCCTGACCAGGTTAGGCTCCCATTGTGTCTCACTGTCATCAGGATCCCAAGTTCGAGCTACATCAGCCACTCACAGATTTAGAATGGTTGTTAAAAGACACCCACTCTCTACGTAAAGCTAATACTGTTAAGGCTTATGGGATTCCTGATCTGATGACTAAGTGAACCCTGGAGGCTTTCAAAATCTCCTTCCCGCCCCTACCTCAAGTGAGCTGAGAGGCAGAGCGCCAGCTAGGCGCTGACAGCTGTAAAGTGGGTGGCGATAAAGTGTCTTGGGGCTTCTTGGCTGAGCCTGGGATTTTCAGTCTCAGGTACCTACAAGTGCACAGTTGGCAAATGGAGTGGGAAATGGCCATCCCTTTTGTAGCAACACCTAGGTTTCCTGGTGAAGGACTCCGAAATCACAAAGTAGCCCAATGAGTCAGCCATGTTCTGCTCAGAAGTCAGGGTCCAGGACAGTGAGGCAGAGGCCTTCATCCTCGCTCTCTCTTCTCTCCCCTCATGCAGAGAGCGAAATTCGAGTTCGGCTGCAGAGTGCATCACCGTCCACCAGATGTAAGTGGTCACTGTCCTGCTACCATGAAAGGGGCCTGGGAAACCCCCAGAGTAAATCAGGACAGATGGAGCACAGTGCTGGGGAGTTAGGGGCTGGTGCTGTCCCTTCCCCCTCTCTCTCTCTCTCTCTCTCTCTCTCTCTCTCTCTCTCTGTGTGTGTGTGTGTGTGTGTGTGTGTGTGTGTGTGTGTGTTCAATCATCAAACATCCTTGAGGGTTTCCTGGGTGTGGGCCTCTGGGCTAGGGTCCGGAGCTAAGTTTCTGAGTAAGAAAGACATGGTCCTTGGTTAGTAGTTCAGAGTCTAATGGAGAAACTGGAAAGCCAGTCAACGCCCACAACTCAGTGTGAAAGAAAGCACACCCGGGGGTGATGAGACAGAGGGAAGGGAAGCCCTCCTATGCTAGGGGATCGGGGTAGGCTTGGAAGATGTAGCTGTCTGGAGACCGTCAAAGGGCAGTTCTCTATGGAGTTGCAATGAGAGAGTTCAGATGAGAGAAGATTTAGGAGTCGAAAATAAGGGTTTTAACTTCATCACCAAGGTGAGAGCTTCACACCTGGGTAGGATCTGACTCCAGGTCTAATGCTTCCTCACCAGAGTCCTTCAGGCTTTGAGATGTTGATCCCAGAGGAGGGGGCTTTCTGGAGAGAGAGGTGGGGCTTTTCCTGCACCTTCTGTCTATTAGTGTGCTTGTCTCCTGCTCATTGTCCTTGACACCGCTTCCTTCCTGTTTGCCACTCTGAGGGGACACAAGGACCAGGTTCTACTAGTTCACCTTGCTGCAAATAGTAGCAGCCCAGATAGAGCAGACACTAAAGCAGATGCAGCAAAGTGTTTAGGAGCGATAAACCTCAGATCCCTTTGTCACTGAAGCACACCAGCTCATCCAAGGCACCATGTTCAGAGGAAAGGCAATTAATTAATTGTTAAGCTGGCTTTTTAAAGAGCCTAGCCCCCTAACTTCCCAACCCCAGATGACAATGTCTTCCAGTCACAGTCACCCTTGTGGTGCCTTATGAAGTCAAATCAGAAAATCTCCCCCAAGGACTCAAAGCTCCTTGTGTGAAGCTCTGTATTTATGAGACTATTAAGTTGCAAACTGTCCGGTTGATAAAAGCTTTAAATTGGCAAAATTCAAAACTTATAAAGCTAATGGAAAGTGTCCCCATGTGTGAGGTAGATGCCCACCCCTCTGATATCAGAATGCCCTCATCGTTCCTTCCCTGGTCTTTGGCCCTGGGAAAGTGTCCTGGGGCTGATGGGAAGGAAAGTCTGGGTTTCTTTGCAGGGACAGAATTGGATGAGGTCAAGCGTTTGCTTAAGGGAAGCCGATCTGCAAGTGCCAGTCCCACCAGGAACACCTCTAACACACTTCCCATCCCCAAGAAAGGCACCGTAGAGACCAAAATGGTGACCGCAAGCTCCCACTCAGGTAAGCCTGGCAGCTCCAGTCTGCCATGGGAGCTTGGGGACAATGTGACAGATTATGCTGAAGGCCTTTCAGCTTTGCCAGCCCTGGAAAAGTAGTGAGCGTCTGCCATTCCACACAGTGAATGTTTGGGCGGGGTTTTCTTATCCACCTGGTCAGCTGTATTCTAAGGATGTGGTACCTGGCTCTACATCCTTGAGATTCTCCCCAGCAGGTTCTGAAAGTCCTTAAAATGTTGCCAGGTTCCCCAAGAAACAAGAGGAAAGTTGTAGTATTCTCATCAATGAAGTATTTCTCCTATGCCTACTCTGTGTCAAGATCTGAGGAAAAGCTCTAGACAAGAGAAGTCTAGCCAATGCCCTGGTGGAGAGGAGTGTCTCTGGAGAGCTAAACAGGATACCAAGAGGCTAGGGTCACATGGGATGAGAAGACAGCCTTATGGAGTGTGTGTCTTCCATGAGGGAAATACTTCTTCAGATGACAGAAAGAGAAGTTAGCAGAGCCACGGACAGAGATGAGCAAAGAAATCACATCTTCTGTGGATGAAGATTTCCTACTGTTTCTGGGAAAGTCTTGACACCATGACCTTCCTTGTGTGACTTCCCTATAAAGCCAAGCCTCCTTCATGTTAGCAATGGTGTGACCAGTAACAGGCAGAAATGGCATCAGATTTGAAGAGGCATAAAAAGTCCTGCCAGGGACAGAGTGCCTTTGGACCTGGCTGGCTCACAGAGGCACCTTAATGAGGATCTACGCAAGAAGGCTGCTCTGTTCAAGAAGTTATTATTACCTGAACACTCCTTTGTCGGATGCATACCCCACATTTGCAAGGGTGCCTAGAAGTAGCTCCTGACTGAACTACCCCTTGGCATCTTTGAAAATAGGAAAGCAGTAAGGGTTGTCCCCATTGGTGGGGACAGACCACCATGTTAAAAAAAAAAAAAACTTATAAGACCCAATGAGTGACACTAAAGGAAAATTAATTTCAAATTTCACCAGGAACTGGCAAGAATTTTGTGATCTAAGAGATCAAGTCTTGACATCAGTCAAAAGGAGAATGACTCAGTACCTCATTCTGTCCTGAACTGGGCGGGGGGGTCCCGAGATATGGGACCTTCAGTGCTAAACTCAGGGAAGCTTCAGGAGGACAAGCAACCAAGTTCCCCAGCGGGAAAGGGTCCCCTCTCCCTCAGCAGTGAAGTGTGTGTGTGTTTCTGTTTCCAGTATCAGGGACCTACGACGCGACAATACTGGACACCAACCTTCCCCAGCACATGTGGTCCTCCACCTTGCCTGCAGGGTCCTCCATGGGGACCTATCACAACAACGCGACGACCCAAAGCTCCTCTCTGCTCAACACCAACGCCTACTCTGCAGGATCAGGTAGGTGGAGGACACACACAGACACACACACACACACACAGCTTCTCACTCGAAGGCAGGCAGGACAGCGGCAGCTCCACCCTGCTCACGAAGGTTTCCCTCAGTGTGTACCAGCCCCAGCACCTCCTGGGAAGGGATTTTTATGGCCTAATGTCTCAAGCACTTCCCAATGGAAAGGCATTCGTTTCAACATAGTCAGCTAGATTTCAACTAGACTTTAGAAGGTGTTTTTTATAGAATGAACATTCAAAACAGCGTATCAGAGGAAACACAATGGAAAAGAACAAAATGCCTCGTATCAATGAGTGTGAATTGATTGTGGGAATCTCGAACAATTCAACTAAACTTCTGAGATCCCACTCTATGAAATGGGGCCACCAACAAGGGAGCCATTAACTGGACCCTCTTGTCTACTCCACGGCTGGCCATCCAAAATCACCTCTGGCTACGACCAAAGGTGCCGTAGATTGGTATTCAGTTCTCTGCATCAAAGAGAGAGAATTGAATATTAAGGTTTTCTTTTTGTTCTAACAACAAACATGTAACAGAACATTTGAGCCAGATCCCAGCATTTCTTCTGACACATCCCAAGTATCTGAGCTTCTGCCTTGCCCTGAGCCTTGCTCTCACCTGCCTTCTCCCTCCCACTGTAGTCTTTGGAGTGCCAAATAACATGGCGTCCTGCACGCCTACGCTGCACCCTGGGCTCAGCAGCTGCTCTTCAGGTCAGTGCTGCCACCTTGTCACCTTTTCCTCTTACGCTATTGTTATGTAGTGTGAGCGAGTGTTTTGCATGTGTGGGTGTTTGCTCACCACAAGTGTGATATGCCTGTGGGGGGCAGAAGAGGGCTTTGGGTCCCCTGGAACTGGAGCTTCTGTATATCAGCACTGGGAGTCACACCAGTTAAGGCAATGCAGACAATCTGCCACAGGCCACAGTCCCTCACCAAGAATCTTCCCAGGTCATTCTAGGCCATGTCAGGTAGTTAAGTCAACAACACAACCCTTGGTGTCAAAACCAGGGCAAGGATTTAGCAAAGTGTGGTAGCACATGTCTTTAATCCCAGAACTCCAGAGGCAGAGGCAGGCAGATACTGGAGTTCAAGACCCTACTGATCTATGTAGTGAGTTCCAGGGCTATGTAGAGATATGCTGTCCCCAAAGGAAGTCTTCAAATAAAGCTCAGTGGGTTTTTTTGTTTTGTTTTGTTTTGTTTTTTACTGTGTCCCACCCAGGCCATTGTCCCTGTGCAGACCTAAGGGTTAGAGCAGGGGAAGGGGAGTGGGGACCCTCAGCTCCTACATCCGACTGGCTTACTCCCTGTTCAGAGTAGACTGTGCAACCCAGAGGAAGCAAGAGAATCCTGTGAAACAACAGGAATTAAGTGAATCTGTGAAGAGTAAAGTAGCAGCAGTTTTCGTGAAAATGGTCTAGGGGCTCCAGGAGGCTTCCAGCATCCAGAGGGCATCCCAACTCATGGTTCTCACGTGTTCTCCATTTCTCTCACAGTGTTTGGCATGCAGAACAATCTGGCCCCCAGCTCTTCTGTCCTTTCCCATGGCACAACCACCTCTTCTACAGGTGGGTAGCGTAAATTCGGAGCTTAGGGACTTAGATACTACAGCCCACAACATACCTTTCACAAACAGCCAAAAGGACCAGTAGGCCTCTCCTGCCAATGAAACAGCCCCCTCTCCCAGCCTAGAGATGCCAACGCTCACCGCTCGCTGTCTCCGATGTGAGTTAAATGCACAGCGAGCCTGTAGGTCCAGCACTGTGACTTCTAGTTCCCACGGTCTCTTAGCCCAGGCAGGGCAGTGGTCTCTAACCTCACAGCTCACCCTTCCGCAGCCCACTGCCACTTCAAAGAACTTGATGCTTGTTTTGCCGATGTGCCAAACGGGGCCGTTGCCCCTCTGTGCAGAGCAGGAGAAGGGGTGTGGGGCCACTTAGCTCCTGCCTCCAACTTGCCTACACCTTGGTTGGAGTACAACTTCCAAGCCACATGAAGCAATAAGACAATCCTGTTAAACAACGGGAATTAAGATAATTTGTGAAGAGTAAGGTTTAAGAAGACTTCCTGAAAGAAGGGCTTAAGAACTAGAAAAGGACGCAGGAAATAAAGACCCCCCACAACTGGAGAGAGTTGATTTCATGTGATTCCTCTCAGCTGATCAGACTGTTCCAGAGCCGCAGAGGCCACCTTCCCACATTGGCCCGGCTCATTGATGCCTTCTCTCTTGCAGCATATGGTGTGAAGAAAAACGTGTCCCAGCCGCCCACTGTCACCAGCACTGGTGTGTCGACTTCTGGTAAGTGTTGTTACTGATTTCTAGGGCCGAGGCTGGCGCCCGGGGAGAGGCGCCCTACTGTGACACACGGTGTCCTGGAAGAGAGGCTAGAACCTGTGGGTGGTCTGAGACCCACAAGTGCAACTCACCCCAAAGGTCTCACGGATGTCTCCAGAGAAGAGCATCCTCTGAACCTACCTTGGTCTTCCTCACCCTCCACACCTGCCTCCTGCCTGTTACACTCCAGCCAGCACCCTCACTGCTCTCTAGAAAATCTTTATCAACTTGGGTTCGCCTCATGCAATGAGCCTCATGCCACCATTATGTAGATTCCGGTGTGTCTCCTTCTAAACAGCAATTCATTCATTGAAAACAAAAATGTACTGAGCACCAATTTAGTATCAGACAGGCAGTTTGGTTTTCCAGGTGTCAAGGGAAGCAGGTGGACAAGACAGGACAGAATCGTGGTGAGAGCAAGACAATGCCAGGAGAGGAAGCATACGACAAACACAGAGACAAAGCAGGCCAGACAGCTACCGAGAATGACCTGATTCCTAAGCAAACAAGTGATGTGGTAGGCATGGAGTCTCTGTGTTAGAGTGCAGAGCGTTAGGGAGTGGGCAGCAAAGGCCTCGCCAAGATGGTAACACAAATCTGTCAGGTTAGCTTAAGGGGGGCTGGTGAAGGAGACTTCTGCAAGGTCAGGAAAGATCCTGTGTCTACAGGTAGGGAAGTAGCCCTACAGACCGGTCACCCAGCACTGCTGACGTTGGCCTAATGTCGGGATGGCCAGACCTAGCTGGCAGGGTCCCCAAGATGCTCCGTAGCACTGTGGAAAAGACCAGTGGACCCCAGCCACACTAGTGAACCTCCTTTCCTTTCTCTTCCCCCTTCCTCTTCGTGCCCTCCCTTTCCTTCCTTCTGGCATCCTTTCCTTCCCCCTCACCCACTTCTGTCCTCTACAGCCTGCACCACCAGCGTCCAGAGTGACGACCTCTTGCATAAAGACTGCAAGTTCCTGATTCTGGAGAAAGACAACGTACCAGCCAAGAAGGAGATGGAGCTCTTGATCATGACCAAGGACAGTGGGAAGGTCTTCACCGCCTCCCCCGCCAGCATCTCTTCAAGTACGCAAAACATGGTTGGCATAGGCATCATAGTTGGAGTGGACTTCAGAAGGGCAGATAGCGCGCATGTGCCTGGGGAGGCCTGGGGTTGGGCCGCAATGCCCTTACAGGGTATTTTGAGCAGATTTAGTCATCAAATCATGGTGATGTTATTTTGATGGAAAAATACCCGCCTGGACCTGCCTTGAATGCAGATAAGCCAGGAAACCAGGGAGCTCCCACAGGGAGTCTGTGGGCAAAGGGAGTCTAACCACAGCACTGGTGGAGGAGATTAACCCGGGAAACCTGGCCTCGCTTCCCACCAGGCTAAGCTCGGTCTTCCCAGGGAGTGTGGGAGAGGGTGGACCAGATTATCACTGGTTCTGTGCACAGCTTCTTTTTCAGAAGACACCCTGAAGAAAGAGAAGCAGGCAGCCTACGCTGCGGACACCTGCCTAAAGGCAGACGTGAACGGTAAGACGAGCTGACCCTGCAAAGCCAACTTCAGCAAGGCCGCGCCTCCTTTCTTTGTCTTCTGGGACCATGCGGCTCAACGTGGGGTCTGCTGGCAGCACCCAGCAGGGCTAGGAACATAGAGCCCAACCCTCCCCAGGCTTCCTGGGTGGGAAGCTGAAGCTTTAATGCGGGCGTGAACACGTGTGTGTAGGTGTTCGTGTGTGTGCGTACATGTGGGGGAGGTCATTGTGTGGGGTACGTGTGTGTGTCACTGTGTGGGTGTACGTGTGTGTGGGTCACCGTGGGAGTGTGCGTGGGGGGGCACCGCGTGGGTGTGTACTACATGGGGTTTCATACGTGCGGGATGCACTGTGAGGTGCAGGGGGGACACGTGTGGGGGTCACCGTGGGGGTGTGCATGTGGGGGGTCACTGCATGGGGTTTCCTATGTTGTGGGGGTGCACTTGTATGTGATTCCAGCCCTCACATTCAGCTCCAAACTTCTGTATGTACTTTCAGGAGACCTAACTACCGTGTCCACGAAGGGCAAGGCCATCTCCGCAGGTGAGGGAGAGTGGAGGGGTCTGAGGGGCTGGCCCTGGTGAGGGGGATGGATGAGGGCCCTTGCCTGGAGCCAGGGCACACACGAGCTACCCAGATCTGGCCTCCTAAAGGCCTGGAAGGAAGAAGGAGAGAAAATAGGAGTGGGGGCTGGAGAGATGGCTCAGTGGTTAAGAGCACTGTTTGCTCTTCCAGAGGTCCTGAGTCCAATTCCCAGCAACCACACGGTGGCTCATGGCCATCTGCATAGGGAGCTGGTGTCCTCTTCTGGCGTGCGGGTGTACGTGCAGACAGAGCACTCATATACATACAATAACTATGTGTTTTCAAGTTGGTGGTACTAAGGGTAACTCCGGGCACTGTGGGAACCACAGCGAGCTGTGACAGAGAGGCCTGACGACCAGAGCGCATAGGTTACACAGGCATTGTGGCAGATGCCGGTGGCACTCAGCCCTAGAGATGTTCTAAACCCTAGGCGGTGGGCTGCGTCCTCCGCTGAGTAAGGATCTTGTTTCATTCCATTCCATAACCGTTTTCTGAAGCAGGTCATCTTTGAACCTCACTTTGTAAAGCGTCACACACACTCACAGGGTCTCACACTGACAGTTGGCTGCCTGGGGTTTTCAGACTTCCTGTCCAGCCAGATCCCTGTGTTCATGAAAAGCCACACATAGACTCAAATCCTCCTCGCCCTCCCCACATCACCAGTTTTGAAGGGAGCCAGGCCAGGAACCTCCTGAATTCAATTCACCCTCCCTGTTTCTTCCCAGAAAACCACAGCTATGACCAAGGTGGTGGCGGTGGTGGAGGCAAAGGCGGCGTGGGTGCTGGCGGCAGCAGCGGCGCTGGTGTCAGGGGCGGAGCGTGGGGGGGCGCACCTGCCTGGTGCCCCTGTGGCTCCTGCTGCAGCTGGTGGAAGTGGCTGCTAGGCCTGCTGCTCACCTGGCTGCTGCTGTTGGGTCTGCTCTTCGGCCTCATTGCTCTAGGTAGGTGCCAAGGCCACCGAGCCCAAAGTCCCCAGCCCCTTCTCTTCCTGGGGATGGGAAACCACGGGTGGTGCTGCGTGTTGGAGGCCAAGTAGCTGGAGATTGCAGATGTAAGCCCAGTTATCCCTACAGAGGGGAAACAGCCCCTCCTGGCACCTGAATCAAGTCTAGAGGTCACTGTGCAGGGCTCTGGGAACCTAAAGTCCTGGCCCCACCCCAAGGCCCCTTTTATAAGGCCACTGCCCTGTGGTCTCTCTGCCTTTACCCAGCCTGAGCAATTCCATCTCTTTCCCTGGCATCAATTTCCACCTTCCAGAGGAAGGGGAACCAGCTTTGTACTCAGCTTGGGTGGTGACAAAGCCAGGTATCCTTGAAACTCAGGAGAATGTTGGCTGCTATTAGCCATAAGGATTGTCTCTGAAATATGTGAAGAAGCCCCCCAGATGCAGGGCCCCAGAGCAGTCCTCACTGATGGCCCACGTGTGTCTGTCACAGCGGAGGAGGTGAGGAAGCTGAAAGCCCGGGTGGATGAGCTAGAAAAGACCAGGGTGCTGTACCATGAAGACAAGACGGAGAGAAGTAGCAAGGACCGCCTCCACGGTGATGCACCCAGCCTGGGACCTGGCCTAGGTGCAGGGCCTGGCTTAGGAAAAGCTGGGCTGGATGACTATAGCCAGGAGGCCATCTGGCTGTTCGTAAGGAACAAGCTGATGACAGAGCAGGAAAACGGTGAGAACAGACCGGGAACAAGGCCGGCTAGCCCAGAACTTTGGGTCTAGGGAGCCTTATACCTGTCCTGGGAACACTACACAGCCTCTCCCCGACTCCCTTCCTATCCCTCCAACACCCTAAGAGACCAGAGGGAGCTGGGCTGGGATCCCATTTCACTGCTGGGAAAACCAAGTCCAGGAGAGAATTGGTTAAGATCATTGGAACACCATGGGGGTGGGGGAGTGAATGTGTATTTCTAATGACAAGCATTTGCCTCTTCCCACCATCCATCCTATTTGTGTGTGTCTGTGCACCTGGGTGTTTGTGTGTAACTGACCCAAGGTTTACTCTTTCTTGTAGGAAATCTCAGAGGAAACCCTGGTCCAAAAGGTATTGGAGTGGCCCGAGCCTTTCCCTGCTCTCAGTCCTGCAGGGGAGGCATGTTCCCCTGGGATTGGAATCCTTTCCCTTTGTCCAAATGGGAAGCACATATACCTTCTAATTGTGTATCTGTCTGAAGTTTGATTTGACTCTGCTGTCAGACATCACAGTAGGGTTGGGAGTCTAGGCCCCACGCAGGAGAAACCTAGTGGTCTGTGCCTGGGTGTCTGTGACAGGGCTGGTGGGACCCAGCCCCTCATGTTGATTTGTGGCTCACACGGGTGAGAAAGCAGCTCTTGGTTATTATACTGTCTCACAGTATCTGGCTTTCTGGTTTTAGGTGACATGGGAAGTCAAGGCCCTAAAGGTAACTATTCCAAAAACAATTTACCTTAAACATTGGGGAGATGGGGTGAGCAGTTAAAGCAAGCAGATAACCCCTCAGGCTGAGAAAAAAGCAGTTCAGCAAGACGTAGTCCGTGCATGCTGGAAAAGGAGGCTTCCAATCCCGTTGCCCCTCACTGGACACAAAGCAGCCTTCTTTGCCTCGTTTCACTGAGAGTCTCACCAGCTCTAGTGTGGGGAGGAACTACCCACAGACTCTGGGCCCCTCTCGGAGTCTCCGATTAAGTGGATGTGGATGAGCCCAGGAACCTTTTGTCACCCCAAGGGACTCTGCGCCCAGGGGTGCCTTCCATAAGAAGCACCATTCCAGCTGAGAGACCTGCCTCTCTCCCGACTCCATCCTAACTTACTTCCCAGGCAGGAATGGGCTTCCTCCCTTTGCCACCTCCCCTCCTGTTTAACTTCTCCATGGTCCCACACACTGCCAGCCTCAGCACACACAGCCTGGATCCCTACATGAATCTACCTCCCAGGACCCGTAGGCCTACATTCCTCCTGACCGTGCTTCAGATGGTGGTTCTGGAGTCCCTCGCTGGATGTGGCAGATGATGTACTCCCGAGCGCATCTAAGCTTGAGAAAACATCAATTTTTCACTATAATTATGTCCCAGACAACTCCTGGGGCCTAATGATACAAGAATGTATTTGTAGTTTTAGCAATTAGAATTTAACTGGATATATCTGCTCCCTGAAAGCCCCATGTGAATCCTGCTAATGGCTCCTTAGGGGAACAGGCCAGGTCTGATGTCTCCGTTTGTTCCCACAGGAGACCGAGGCCTTCCTGGGATTCCAGGTGTGTAAGCTGCAGCAATCTCCCGTGCTGTTGGTTTGGGCATAATCAGTCCTAGCTGTCAACCTCCAGAGGAAACAAAGGCTGAGGTCTTCTTTTATATCCACAGGTATCCCCGGGCCCCTGGGCCACCCTGGCCCAGAAGGACCAAAGGGACAAAAAGGCAGCATTGGTGAGAGACTCCTTCTCTGTTCACTTGTTTCCTCCTTGCTCTTTTCTTAAGGGTTTATTAAGTAGATCCTGTTTTAGAAGACAGCAGTGACTTCAGCAGAGAAGGATGAGGAGTTAATTGGGAACTGAAGAGGGAGAGGGCACCACGTGTGTAAGACCCAGGTGCACATTCTGAGCAGAGGGGCCAGCTAGGGCCAAATCCCCAAAAACAGATTCGAAGAATACCAGGTGGATGAAAGCTAAAGAGGCAGAAGTGGCCAAGGGCAGCAAGCCACGTGGGGCCTTGAGGCAAGGCCAGCATAAAGATGCCTTTTCCTCCCAGTGAACTGAGAAGCAGCTGCAGATTTGAGGCGGAGGTAGGATGTCATGTACTCACAGGTCATGCTGGTCCTGGGTTGAGCAAGCAAGAGGAAGAGGGACAACAGCAGCCTAGAAGAGGCTCTGGGCCACCGTTCTGCTGAGGAGAGGCCTCTATGGGCTATGGCATGGGACCCTAACTGTGAGGTTTGTCATTCCCATCTTCAGGAGATCCTGGCATGGAAGGACCCATAGGCCAGAGAGGACTAGCAGGCCCCATGGGCCCTCGTGGCGAACCTGGGCCTCCCGGGTCTGGAGAGAAAGGAGACAGAGGTAAGAGGTGCCACGCCCAACGAGAGGACTAACTGCCTCCGTCCTTCCACCTGCAGCTCCCCCTTGTGGCAGCATTGGCTGAGCACTTGCTGAGGTGGATGGTGGGAGCATGATCCTAAACCCTGTGGAGACAGTGACTAATGAGACAGGCTACTGGAGTCTGACCCAGAGCTAAAAACAGGCTGTGGCTTGGGGACTTACCCAGAGAGACCTTCCCGGAGAGGATGAGGAGCAAAGCCAGGTCAAGGTGAAGAGCAAAGAGCAGGAGAGCTGGGAGCGCAACCAAGTGTGGGGTGAAGCTGTCGCCTTCCAGCGCTTTCCAGCGCCTTCCAGCGCCTTCCAGCCTTTGGGGCGGGGACTCGGCAGGACAAAAGGCAGACCGCCTGTGGGTCAGAAGCATAGAGCTTCATGGGCTGAGGAGGTTTTCAGGGCAGCTCCTCCAACCATGAGACGGGTGTCATGGCAAACTGAGAAGGGCACTTGGGGCGGGGGGAGGTTGCTCGGGTAGAGTCACTATGGAGCCTCTGGTATATTTGTTGAGTGCTTTCTAGGACTTCATGGAGGGTGTTGCTGATGAGTGGCCTTACCATGAGAGATACCAAATGGTCCCTGGTCCATTGGCAGAGTGGGAAGCCTTCCTTCCAAACGTGACTGCCAGGGCATGGGGGGGGGCACTTTCTCAACATATTTCTTCCATTTCTTCTCAGGGATTGCTGGAGAACAAGGTCCTCGGGGCCTTCCTGGTGTCCCAGGTTCTGTGGGTCCCAGAGGTATGTCTGGAGGGCCAACCCAATGTGGCAGGGAGGGGCCACATTCAGAGAAGCAGGTCCCAGGCTCCCCAAGAGCACTGGTTGGTAGCCCCAGATCTAATCAAGATGTCCACAAGTGTTCCTCCACAAAGGAGTGCTGGGTGTCAAGGCTGTGGCCACAGTTTTGGCCTTATGGCAGGGCTTGGGACAGATTCCTGTTTCTGTTGAGTGGCTGCATTATGTGATGTCTAAGAAATTGGATGGATCATACCAGAAAGCAGATGTTCTCCTGCTTTGACTCGGACCGAAACACACACACATGAAATGCAGCAAGCGCTTGATGCCCGGCTGCAGCCTCTCCTCTCCACCCCTGATCGAGACTCAGTATCCTAGGGAGAAGCGAAGGTCTCTGGACCCTGCCAAGCTGTGGCCTCTACAGCTAGGGTCACAGCTGGACCCTCTGGTACTGTCCTGGCAAGGACCAACACAGCCCTTAGAATGAGCTCCTTGCACCCACCCTTCACTCTGGGGTCAGTTGCCCTGGCCAGTTCTTGGCCTTCTAACGATTGTCTCTGTTATGTTGCTCAGGTCCCAGTGGCTCTCCTGGTCCCCAGGGCCCCTCAGGTCAGTGTGCTGCTCTTGTAAATATGCATTGCTTCTGTGGTAAAGAAAGGAGTGTTAAGGGGCAAAAACAAACATTTTTAAAACAAAAAAAGCGATTATAGAGACAGCCTCCCAGACATACGAAAGTCCATAGTAGAGTCTGTGGCTGAGCTTGGGTGTCCTGGTAGGCCCTGTCCAAATCACTTCTGGGCTGGTGTCACACGCAAGACCTCCCAGCAGCTTCACCAATAGGAAGCTCCCTCCTGCCTCTATGTTGTGTCCCATATATGGACTGATAAGCCATCTTGCTACCCCGAGAGCTGGACCCAGGATCCCTGTCAGAATCCTTTAGAGCATTCTAATGCCTGAGCCTGCTGACTGGCAGGGACCAGAGTGGGCAGGAGCATGGGGAGATGAGGGAATCTGTGGGAGCAGCCCCTGACTTCTGCTTCAGGGTGTATAAGCATGTGTGTGTGTGTGTGTGTGTGTGTGTGTGTGTGTGTGTGTGCGCGCGCGCACAACTGTGCACGTGTGCCTGTCCCTTCCAAAGATTGGACGCTCCTCTATCTACATGTTTTCTCGTTGGGCAGGCTCTATGGGTCCCCAAGGGCCCCGAGGTGAAGTGGGACTTCCTGGTGTCAAAGGTAAGTAAGCTAGGAGAAGGGACAAGGAGGAAAAGCACTCTGTGGAGACCACTCATCCAAGAAGGAGGTCTGGGGGTTCAGGGTTCAGAGAGGGTCTGGTGGACATGACCCACAAGCTACCAACGCAAGGCAGGTGGGGTGAAACCAGTATTGGGGGGAAGCTGCCTTCAGAGACAGACATTGACCCTGCTCGGTCATCCTCCACAGGGCTTTCTACAATAAGGTGTCTGTCTCCCTTGCAGGTGACAAAGGACTCATGGGACCACCAGGACCCAAAGGTATACTGCTCCCCTTGCTGCTCTGTCATCATCGTGGTCTGCTCTGTCCCTAGGCACAAGTCACAGCCTGTGTGGAGAGCCCAAGAGCACATGTGACTCTGGCTCCGGGGCTCTGGGAGCTGAGAGTTCATTCTTCCCCAGCTTCTCAGGGAAACTGAGGCACAAAGAGGGGAAACAAAGTGCCCACACCACATAGTGGGCTTCGTGATGGTGAGGAGGCGCATTCTGAGGTGTCTGCCCAGGACACCTACATACACCACAGCAGGGGGTGTGGGGAATCCGTTTGTGGGTGGATCATCTCCTCCAGCTTCATCTAAGCACTGACTCACCAGGGTCCTGCTGCAGGAACACTGCAGGCCTCCATGTCATGAGGGGAGCTGGCTTTCCTTGCTCATAACTCAGGGTTCCTCCCTGACCTCTGTGTGTGTGTGGTTTTTTTTTTAGGTGACCAGGGTGAGAAAGGACCCAGAGGCCTCACAGGTCAGTCCTACCCAGGAATTTAACCCGCTCATGACCTCTTAAAATCTAGCAGTCCCCAGACAGGGGACAAATACAGGAGGATGAGACCGAATTTCTGTCTCAGAACCCTCAAAGCACTTACAATCTAAGAAAAGCCCCGACAGAGAACAAATACCTGGAGGACAGAGGCTAAGCATGTGTCTAAATGCAATCCATTTAGCTACAGACGGCGTCTGTTTGGTCCAGAGGCTCTAGCTGGCTTGGGTTCTCTGGGGGACGCTGGCTGGGAAAATTAAGAAGCCGTTCCCAAAGCAGCGGGATGTGTGCACCGCTAGCCCTCTCCGCTGCTCACCTGCCAACTGCACGGGAAAAGGAAGCTAAAAGTAATAACGCTTTGACCGCAGAGGGTAGCTTGCTCTCTCTAAGGAAGTCAGACTCATACACGTGGCCCTCAGATCGGCAAGGTTTCTGGGTCAGTCCCAGCCTGCTGTTTATGAAGTGGAGGGGTAGGTGGTTCCGACCTCAGTGGCAAAGCAGAGGTCGTCGCTCTTAGATCCTCCCGGGGGGAGGGGGGGTGGAGGACACAGGCACACGCATGTTCCTAGTGGTGGAAGGTCGCCTACCTTGTTAGCCTCCAGCGGCCGGTCCTTTGTTCTTTGCAGGGGAGCCTGGCATTCGAGGTTTGCCTGGAGCTGTAGGCGAACCTGGAACCAAAGGCGCGACGGGTAAGTGTCCAAAGGCAGATGACAGTCTGAGCTGCACCTCCTTCCTGGGGCTCTCTAGATGCAGTTTTCTGGAAAATTCTCACTGTTCTGGAATAGGCATGTCCCTTCTTCCCTGGCTACTTCCTGTCCACCAAGGACTGACAAGGGTTGAGGTTCTGTGGTACTCCACTGCAGGGATAGCTTCAAAGCCAGATCCAGGCTTTTGACTAGCTGAGGTGCCTAGGCCAAGACAGGGAAGCTCCAGGGAGCTTGGCCTCAGCCTTGAGTCTCACAGAAGCTCAAGCCCCACCAGTGGAGATGTGACACTCTCATTACCACTCACTAACTAAGCATTAATGAGTGCCTGCTGTATGCAGGACAAGCTACTGGGAGGTGGCATGCTTCCCCTCCTGGAGCTACAACAAAGCTTGTGAGTGGTGACAGGGGCCAGGAGAGATTGTTTGCGGCCTGGAGGACCAAGGAAGGGGCATTTCAGACATTCCTAAGAAGTTAGAAAGCACTTAATCATGACCGCTTTGGGAAACTATCCATGCAGACGTGCCAGCGGTGTGGCTACTGAGGCAAGTCCTACAGCGGCCCCACTTTAGAAGGAGGTTAGGAATATGCTTAGAGCAGAGGCAACAAGGACCTGGAGGACCTTCACTTCCAGACACTGCTAGGCTGGTGCACTGGGAGCAGGGTGAGCCCGGACCATTCCCAGCAGGGAAGTGCTGCCCTGGGAGGAGCTGCAGGAAGGAGGCCGAGTCAGGGGTATCACAAAGACAGGGCTCCGAAGGTCAGCAACCACAGCGCTTGCTGCACGAGCCCTCCACCCAGGAGGCCATGCGCTCCGAGCCTGGTGGAAGGCAGACAGACTACCCAGCAGACTTTACTTTTCTGCTTCACCAGGTCCCGCTGGCCCTGATGGACAGCAAGGCCCCAGAGGTTAGTCACTGCGCTGGGTCGTCATTCTCACCAGCTGCCCTCGTCCACCCCTCCCTGCCCCTCCGTTGCTCCCAGATGCATGCCTGGCCCTCCATCCTAATGACAAAGAGGCATGCAGCAGTTTTGGTCATGGTGCTTCCTCCTGCCAATGCTACCAGCATACCTCTGCTCCAGAAAACCCACTGGCTCAGAGGTGCTTTCCAAGGGAAAGGTATTCCCATTTTTTCATGCTCTCTGCAGGTGAGCAAGGCCTGACAGGAATGCCTGGAACCAGGGGCCCACCAGGACCCTCTGGAGACCCAGGAAAGCCAGGTAATGGGACAGAAAAGGGAAGCCACAGTCCCCTGAGTGTGTATGTGTGTGTGTGCGTGTCTGCGTGTGCAACTCCCGTATGCTCCAGTGTGTGTATGCACTCTTGGGGATGTGGTAGGTTCACGGGTGCTTCATTGTTTGTGTACACGAGCCTTCTCCCGTGGTCCTCGGCAGCTCAACAGAGAACTCAAACAGCAAGATGACATTTCAAATAGAGGAATTAACAGATGAAGTTCTAGAAAGTTCCAGGAGTTCTAGAAAGGGGCGAGAGTGCTCCTAAAATTGCAGGCTTGAATTCAAGCTCAGTATCTTGCCCGTTTTTCTCTGTCTCCTCTTCTGGGGCTATACCTAGGCCTTCATCCGTACCTACCAATCAGAGAGGAGAGGCCTTGTTAGCATCTCCACTGAAGGTGAAACAAGAGCAGATCTGGGGAAGAACAAATCAAAACCAGACAAAGTGACCATTCCCCCAGACACTGGGGACACAGCATCCCTGACTCCATGGTTGGTGCCTAGGTAAACTGTAATGGAGGAAATGATGGCAGCATTTGGCATTGGGGGGGCAGATTCCTGGCTCTCCTTGTATTCCTGAAGCATCCATGAGCCCCGTACTAAGGACCATTGCCCAATGGAGCACTGGGTCATTTTACTGCAAAGCTCACAGAATTGCTCTCTGCCCAGAGATGTGAGGACAGAGAGCACTCCCACTGTAGGATGTATCCTCCTGCAGCCTCTGACCACCTCACAGTCATGCCCACCAGCTCCTGCAGGCCAGGCTGTGGCTCCTTGAGAACAGTCCTTAACCCTTCAACTCTTGGCCCTGTGTCTTTTTTCCTGCAGGTCTCACAGGACCCCAAGGACCTCAGGGTAAGTCATCCAGTCCCTCCCACCTGACATCGCCTGCCAGGCCACACACTTTGGACAGTGCCTCTCTAGTTACAAAGCCTGTCCTTCCCTCTCCCACCTCCAGCAAAACAAGCTCAGGTTCTGCCACGGTGAGTCCTGAGAAGCACCATAAGAAAGCACAGAGTGAGAACAATCTAGATGACATTCTGATATCAGTGATGTCAGATCCTGTTTGTGCTGTGCCCTGGCCCCCTCTGGTGCAGGGACACACAGGAAGGACACTGCTGGCTAGGAATTCTCTAAGGTTCCCCTATGGCATGGAGGGAGTGTGTGCTCCCCTGCCCTCCCGCTGGCTCTCGGGGTTTCCTCTGGAATGATGGCTGCATTAAAGCCCAACCAGTGAAATCTATTCCAGCTTAAGAAATCTTCATCCTTCCCAGCCCCTCACTTTCTAAAGACAAAGATAGTGAGACCAAGCCTAGACTGCACAAAGGCCACCGCTGCCGCCGCCGCTGCCGCTGCCGCCGCCGCTGCCGCTGCTGCTCTGGACGCAGCAGGCCCTGCAGCGTTGACAGGGAGAGGAACAATGACAGCTTTGTGACCTAGGGAGACGGGAATTCCCCAAGGCCTCTATCTGCCTCAACCAAACCTTGCTGTGCCTCCGTTTCCCAGAGACAGGCAGGGTTCTGGGTGACAACCCCGCTCCCACTCCAGGTGGCTAAGGCAAGGACCTGAGCGAGTCCTGCTGCTTCAGTCAGGCAGCTGTGCGGCCACACTGAGTGGCAAAGTGCCAGAGAGAGGAAAGGGAGGGCAGACATCCAGAACTTCTGGGCCTTAATCATCCTGACTGACTGTGTTTCATCCCATCAGGACTTCCTGGTAGCCCCGGCCGACCTGGGCCTAAAGGTACGTGATTTTTTCCCAGTAAGTTTTTTTTTTTTTTTTTTTTTTTTTCCATCAGCCGTTTTTACAGCTGGGAGGGGTTGGCAGACAGGAGGCCTGCTCTGACCAGAACCTGGACCAACAGTGGCATCTAGTGGTTCCAGTGAAGGCTGGGAAAGCAATACTGGTTCTGAGTGCTCCGGCCCGCCTGCTCTCTCTCCATCTGTCCATCCTCAGGCCTCCAGGTCCTCGTGGCAGGAAGCTAGGAATGGAAGCTTGCTTGCACCCAAGCTTTCCAAGCCCTTGTTTGCCTTTGAAACACCTACATTGCCCCTAAAACATGCCTGTCCCCTAGGCTCCACCCCCATATGGCTTTCTGAGACTGGAGCCACCGTTGGCCTACCCTGTCCCAGGTGTGACTGAGGACACCAGATCTGAAGAAACAGCTCTCTCCATAGGAAGGAAGAGATGTTTGAACCCCACTAAGGGTCAAAGTCAAGGGACGAAAAGGGATCTGGTTAGGGCAACTCAGTGCCACGTAGGCACAGAGTGACATTCTTGTTCACCCGCCCTGAGCAAGCCGAGAAAACAGGCTGCTCAGGGACACACACTCTTTTCTGTCCCTACGTCCCCGTGCTCCTGAGCCTCGCCACCCTGACCATCACAGGCCCTCACTGTCACCCTTAGTGGGACCCTAGGGGGAAAAAAGTTTTTAAAAACTATTATTTCCAACAAGCAGTTAAGCCAAAAAGATCTTTGGCTGAATGAGTGCGACCCTAAACTATGACAGCTGAGTTCATACTTCCCCAGCTAGTGACTCTCTGTGGCTTTAGTAGGGCTTTTAGTAGAGTTGGGGATACCACAAACCATTCTTCTGTGACTTCAGACCAAGGGGACTTCGCTGAAAGAGATGCACTAGAGTCTGGCTGCTGCTAGAAAGGGGCGAGAGTGCTCTTAAAATTGCAGGCTTGAGTTCAAGCACACGCACAGTATCTTTCCCAAACCTGTCTCTGTCTCCTCTGCTGGGGCTAGACCTAGGCCTTCATCTGTACCTACCAATCAGAGAGGAGAGGCCTTGTTAGCAACTGTTAGAGTGAGTTCTCACAGAACCTCCTCCTGCCTTAGCCTTGACCTCCTGCTGGGGAATGTGAGCAAAGCCCGCCCTTTGCTCTCCCTGGGAGGAAGCTGAAGCTACCCTTTCACTGTGAGGCTTAAGAGTGTCTGGAAGGATCCTGGCCAACAGAACTTCTTTTTTTAGTTCAAGAAGTAAACTCAAACATGCCAGGCAGGCTCTCTAATACCGACCCTGGCTCCCAGCCCCAGGATCCATGCCCAGCTCTACTCTTTTGCTGTCCTCAAGCCCATCCACCCCATGGATTGTCAGTTAAGAGGTGCATGGAGCGATGCATCTGTTTGGGGACATTTGCACCCCGAGTCCTCTTCCTGGAAGTCCTTCACTTATACTTGTATTTTTGTCACTCAAGACCAATGGCATGAAAGAACTGTGACCCTTTATGTAACTCAGGATGGCCCAGGTTTGCCCATTGCCAAAACCCTTTTCAGGGTGCCCAATCTGTCCTGTCACCCAGCAAATTAGAATTCACACGTGAGATCATGACTTTTATTTACCCTTTTACCTTCAGATAATTTTCTCACCTATGGCCATTACAGGAAGAAAAGATGGATTTGGGGCTGAGAATGAGTCTCATGGTAGCCCCATTCTGGCCTCATGGGAAGGCAAACCCTTCCACAGCCTCCCAGGAAACCCCTTCTTTGAAGGATGGCTGATGCTCTGGGCCCTGGGTCTAAGTTGAACAATAAAACGCTCAGTGTGCCCTAGGCTCCCTTCATTATTAAGATCACATTAGCTTGAGGGCAAGGGGACCACAGGTGGCCCTCAGATGCAACTGGAAACTTTATAAAGGATTTATCCTCTTGCCCACCCTTCCTGTCTTCCCCAGGTGAACCTGGCGCTCCAGGCAGAGTTGTCACTTCAGGTAAGCAGCCCAGGACGGCTCCCTGAGTTTCATCTTCCTGTCCTATGTGGGCCATCCTGCCCCAATTTCAGCAGATGGGCAGGTGCTTAGGGTGGGACAAAGGTGAGCTCTGTGGATCAGCACAGGGATGAGAGGCAGAGGCTCCTGCCTGCCTGGTCCGAGGCCTCTGGAGCGCTGGCACCACTGAAGGGGAGGAGTGGGGCTCAGTGTTCCATCTTCCTTCTGTTTCCAGAGGGATCATCAGCAATCACTGTCCCTGGACCTCCCGGACCTCCCGGTGCCATGGGACCACCAGGACCTCCAGGGACCCCAGGTCAGTCTGTTTTCTTGCTCTGCCCCCAGTTGGCAGCAGGCAGTGGATGCCATGGATTCCAGCCACATTTGTTCACATCCTGACAACAAGAGCAAGAACTGTGGAAAGACAGAAAGGAGGACCTCAGAAAGCCCACTCTCATGACAGGGAGTCCGCTGACCCTCTCAGCATTCACACACAAGAAGCTGAGACCCAGAATGGGCAAATCACTTGCCTAAGGTCACACAGCCAGCAGACAGCAGGGGAGGGCTCAGTCCAGATGTCTGTCTCCAGAGCCTGGCTGAGCCTTCAAGAACGAAGGCCTCTGAACTCTAGTTTCTTAGAAAATATTGCAGCAGGCATGTGGGGCAAGCCAAATGCCAGTGCTCAGTGAGGAGGAAGTACCCCAACTCATCCAGCAGCGTGAGATGCCTGCAGAAATGTGGAGGAAGGCTGTGAGGAGGTGAAAGAACTCGACTGTCAGGATTAAGTGTAAGCTCTGTGGTTACAGCTATGTTCTTACAAAATGGGAACAAAAAAGAAAACAGCTGAAATGAAACTGCTTAGACGTTAAAGAATTGTGGTTTCTCCATTTTTCAAAAATGCCTGTTGTCTTGTTATATGTGTTTTAATTATTTAAAATTAAGAACATGCAAGTGTGCTCCACTCTAAGCGAGCATGCTCCAGTGAGTGGTAGATGTCTGAGATACCTACATGTCCCCAGCCAGTAAAGAAAGTATCAAAAGAGACAGCCCTGCCTACCTGGAGGTCCCCTTCCTGTCTGAGAGTCTTACACGACTGGCCTCTGGCTGCTAAGCAACCATTATGTATGTAGCCAGCTAGCCCACACTCTGGGAGAATTCCTGTGTGTCCCCAGGTATCTGCCCTTTCCTCAGCTTTCCATGTGACCCTGGGGCAGGTGTGTGTGTGTGTGTGTGTGTGTGTGTGTGTGTGTCCGAGTGTGCGATTTAGTCTTTTCTCTAACTGTTTGCAGGTCCTTCTGGCCCTGCTGGTCTCCCAGGACAGCCAGGTATGTCTCACCCTGTAACATCACAGGCTGTGAGCAGGGTCAGGGGGACATTCTTTCTAGGTGGGGCTTAAGTCCCCTAATTTTAGATAAAGGGGGAGATGCATGCTTTGGAAAGAAACAGCAGAGCCTTCTAGGGGCCTCAAAAAGCCTCCAGCTCCTCTCATCCCTCCCCATACTTCTGAGAGGATCCTGTTCCTCACGATGGAAAAACCTAGGCTCTATGGTGTTCTGGTCAAGGTTAAGGGCACCATATTAATAGGCCTTGGGCTTCAGACAACCAGAACCTGATAATTAACGTGACTGTCCAGTGATTTGTCCAAGTATCAGGATGACAGTGGGCTTTTGAAAAACTGGGCCAAGTGGCCATGGCTTTGACCACAGGCAGAAGTAGCAGCCATTGGTACCCTGGCCCTGCTTTCCGCTTACCTGACTTTCCTTCCTCAGTTCAGCTGAAAGGCAGCCTCTCTTCTCTAAGACCCGCCCTTCCTTGATTCGGCCACACCCTCCCTCAACTAGGCCCCACCCTGTATCTGTCCCCACCCCACAGGAATCCTCTGCTGCAGATAGTGTGCACCCTAACACTGTGTCCTCCCCACAGGCCCACGAGGCGAACCAGGAATTGCTGGTGACTCATTCATAAACAGCGGCAGCTCCATCTCCGAGGTCCTGTCTGCCCGTGAGTGCACCACCCTCCGGTGGCAGGTGTCACTGGGGAGGGGATGGGAGGGATGACAGTGTCATCAGGGCTGGGCAGCTGCAAAGTCTCATGCCAGAAGGACCTTGTGTCCTGCTCTGCAGTGGAGGCTGGTAAGAGCAGCAGGGTCTGTCTGGCGTGAGAGGCACAGTCACAAGGACGAGAAGGTGCCTGGAGTTGCCAGCTAGAGACGCAGAAGTGGGATGGAGCTTGGGCTGCCTGACACTGAAGTCCAAATTCCCACCCATCACTCCACACCCCCATACCGTCAGTGTGCAGTCCCGCCCTGCTTCTGAATGGGGCGTCTCAGCAGATGGGGTCCTAGAGGGAGCTGTGCAACCAGGGCTTGGATTGCAGCCCAGAGACTAGCCATTCTCGTGAAAGATCAGGAGCACGGTGAAGAGCCTGGCCACAGCCCTCCATTTCTATTTGCTTCTCTCCACAGAAGGTGTTGATTTACGAGGTCCCCCTGGCCCACCTGGACCACGAGGACCTCCAGGTAAGAACTCACTGATATTTGGAAGGTGGGGAGTCTTGAGGGCCAAAGGGCATCAGAGGTTTCATGAGGAAACCGTGATCTAATCCTCAGGAGTCAGCCAGCCCCCTAAGGCCAGCCCTTTCTCTTCCTTCTGCAGGGCCTTCCATCCCAGGCCCTCCAGGACCCAGAGGCCCACCAGGTGAGAGCTGATCTCCTTGCTAGGAGGGGACAAGGGCAGGAGAGGTAGAAGACAAGGAGACCCACAGCCCAGAGCCCTCTGTGCCGGCTCTCAGGAGAGCGCTCCTGCCTCCTCACCCAGGCGGGGCCCTTGACTCATCTGCTGGCACTACTGAGTCCTGGGCCTCTTTTCCCTAGGGGAAGGCGTGCCAGGCCCACCAGGCCCTCCAGGACCTTTCCTGACTGACTCAGGTAACATGCGGGCGTCCACTCCCACCTATCCTTACCTCAGACCTAGCCTGACTGTGTTCTCAGCAGCGCTCTTCTTGACTGGACCGCCACACTTCCTGCCCCTGGCTTTCGAGGAGAGAGTGAACACAGCGTCCCCCTGCTACTTGCTGCACGAGGAGCAAATATGCCAGCCACGCTGGGAACCTGGCTGGAAGGAAGAGCCAGCTGTGCCCTTGGTTGCTGCGCTCAGGGGTGGGGGATTTGATGAGAAAGGACGCAGGTGGGTGCACACCTAGCGCGATGATGTTTACAAAGAAATGGAGGAACAGGAAGAGCAGGCATTAGGCCAGAACTTGTCCCTTGTAGAAGATCCATCCGTCCACTCAGCCACCCACTTACCCATCTGTCTAACCAGCCATCTTTCCATCCATTTAAATGCCCAATCTTTTGACCATGCAAACATCTGAACACACATGCTTACAAATGCACACACATACAACAGGTGTTGACGGAGCCTATTGCCCAGTATGGTGCTAGCTGCTGCCTCTCAGAGACAAACTCCAACTATTTCTTTCCTTGCAGAAACCTTCTTCTCTGGCCCTCCAGGCCCCCCGGGCCCTCCAGGTCCCAAAGGAGACCAAGGTGAGAGCAGTATCCCCTGCACAGCTCGGAAGCTGCAGCACGTGGTGGGAGTAGGAGAGGGGCAGGGCGATGGGGAACTCTGCCGACAGTCTCCACCTGATCGACTTTGTGAAAGGAGATACCTCAGGTTCCGTCTGGAGCCCCCATCCCCGCTCACACTGGTTCAGGGAAAATCACAGTATCTGATGGTAACAGCCTTGTGCAAGGCCTCCCAGGCCTCAGAGGACATCAGGGTACTTCAAAGACAGTCTGGGGTAGGGGTGAGGTGGCAAGAGCTGAGCCCTCAAGAACTCTGAGATGACTCAAAGTGCATTTGGTCCACGCAAGTAGATCACAGAGTCAGTGTGGAGAGCTAAGGATGTACAAAGGTATATGTGTGTATGTGTGTGTGTGTGTGTTACTGTTCAGAGAGGGGTGCAGGCCCAACAGCTGTGGCTCTTAGGAAGCCTCCCCAAAGGCGATGTGATATTTGCGAGCAAGACTGTAGACATGGAATGTTTGTTGAGCCTCCCGCTAAGGGTGCTGAACTTACCTAAGGGGCTGCCTGGAGGAGAAGGCACACACAGGGCTTCTCCGTTTGGATTGCAGGTGATCCTGGTGTCCCAGGTACTCCTGGCATCCCTGGTGGACACTCGCTCGGTAAGAACTGAAGGAGAACAAAGTTCCCCTTCCGTCCTCCAAGAGGGGCCGATAGTTCCAATGAGGTTGCCTCCGCTTGTCTTCTCATGTTGACTTGGTAGCTCCACAGAGGGCCAGCATGAGCTACCTTTAAGGAAGCCACAGGATTTGGGGGATGGGAGGAAAGATTCGTGCAAATCCAGAGTCAGCTGATTGTGCTTGGGGCCCAGAGATGAGAATGGAGCAGGCCCCAGGAGCTACAGGCGGCCTGAAAGGAGGTAGGCTGTGAGGCAGGGAGCAGGCTGCTGAAGGAAAGGAAGGGCAGGAGGTCTGGCCTGGTGAGCCCTGTGCCTTGCAGATGTGGCTCTTCTGTTTTCCACTGACCTGTTTCCTGAACGGAGAAAGCCTCCAGGCTGGCAGGGACACAGGGCCCTGGCCTGCCCTAGAGTGAAGAGTCAGCACACTTTCTCTTCTCTGCAGGGGGATCATCCAGCACTATGTACATGCAGGGCCCCCCTGGGCCCCCAGGGCCCCCCGGGCCTCCAGGCTCCCTCAGCAGCTCTAGCCAGGATATCCAGCGCTACGTTGCAGAGTACATGCAGAGTGAGTGCCTCGTCGCCCACACCTCGGGAGACTGAGGAAGCTGGGGTAGTCGTCTATGCAGCCAGGCCCACCCATGAAGCCTGGCCTGCAGGTCAGAGAGCTGACTGACCAACAGACCTGTCCATACAGATGCCTCACCTTCCTCCTACCTGGAGATCTATACGCTCATATCCACATGCATAAAAAGGAATACACGCATGCACACCAACACTTTTAAATGCGGTCATGCCCCCTCCCATCCCTGCATACCGGTGATAAGTCAAACAGATGGCTAACTGGAGTCTTGTCAGTCCATACCCTCATGGACAGCACAGCCTTAGCCTCACTTTCTCTGTCAGCAGCAAAACAATCCAGGCTCCCTGCTGGCCTTGGCTCAGGCCCTGTGTGGGCCAGGACAGGCGTGTTCTCCTCCGCCTGTGATCACAGGGAGGCCTTACACTCTTGGCGGCAGGCTGAGCTGCTTCACTCATTCCTTTGTTGGCAGGTGACAACATCAGGACTTATCTCTCTGGAGTTCAGGGTCCCCCAGGCCCACCAGGTCCCCCAGGGCCTGTCATCACCATCACAGGAGAGACTTTCGACTACTCCCAGCTGGCAAGCCAGGTGGTGAGCTACTTGCGGGGTAAGTCCGTCACAGTTGCTATGCTCTGCTGCCCTCTTCCCAATGGGTCATCCTTGTTCCCGGGACCGTGCCTCTTAATCCACACTTGGTTCCACCTTTCTCCTAAACATCTAACCTTTGACTCTGCGCTCGTCAAGAGTTGGGCCCCAGGGCCCGGCTCAGCAAATGCTGGACCACACTGGAACAGAGGCATGATAGGGGCAGGCCTGCAGAGCATTTGCCCGGCAGGTGGTGTCTAGTAGGAGTCAGGCTAAAGCATAATCGAGAACATGGTGCTCTGAATGAAAAGCCAGCCTCTACTTCTGGCCTCTCCTGGCCTTCTGACTAGCCAGACATGTTCCACACATTCGTTTCACCCAAACACAATGACTAGCTGACTTGACCGTTTGGTCTGGGTGCAGAGGGTCTGCTCCAAGACCAAGGAGGTCAGACAAGGTCTTCTTCCCACAGCATCGGGCTACGGTGTCACTTTGTCCTCTGCCTCCTCCTCAGAAGATATCCTGGCCATGCTGCGACGTGAGTCACCTACGGGGTTGACTAAGAGCGGGGCCTCTATGCTCTCTTCTGACCTCACTTGTTGAGCACAGGGGTCCCCTGCTTAGCTTTTGTAATAGCTGCAAGTAAGAGGAAGTCCTCTGTGGCAAGGAGACGCTCACTCACTGTTCTGTCACAAATGCATCAAAAACAGGAGAGTGAATCGCCCATCTTCCTTCACTGCAGGCAGCTAGAAGCAGCCTGACTTCCCCTGCCCAGTGTGTGTGTGTGTGTGTGTGTGTGTGTGTGTGTGTCTCTGTGTTTGTGTCTCTGTGTGTGTCTCTGTGTGTGTGTGTGTGTGTGTGTGTGTGTGTGTGTGCGGGCGCACGCGCGTGCACAGGCACACCAGGAACTCCCAGCTGTTATTGGGAACCAGGCTGGACCACTGGGCTACTTCATAAGCATACCCTCTCCTCTCCAGGGAATGATGTGTGGCAGTACCTACGTCAGCACCTGGTGGGCCCTCCTGGTCCCCCAGGGCCACCAGGAGGCAGCGGAGATGGGACCCTCCTGTCTTTGGACTACGGAGAGCTGAGCAGACAGGTTCTCAACTATATGTCAAGTGAGTGGTCAGGAGGGCATGGAATGAGGACTAGAGCATACAATGCCACTGAGATGGCCCCGCCCTCCAGCTGCCCTGACCCTTACAGAGGCAGCAGTCTCTAGAGCTGCTCAGAGAAAGAGCAAGCCCCACAGCAAAGGAGCACAAGGCGAGCACTCCCATTCACCGATGTGCACATTCCACACCCAACAGCTCTCAAGCAGTGTGGACCTGTGCTCTGCTCAATGCCCTCCCCTTTGGGTGCCACGGCCCAGACTGTATCTGCATCTCACTTTTCTCCATCTTCCTTCCCACCATCACTCTTTCCCTTCCTCAGATCCCATTTCTGTCCAAACTGCTATCCACCTTCCTCCCTGGCAGGCCATTTGTATCTGTCCTCCCCTGTCCCTCATGAGTCCCCAACAACTTGGGACTTTGTTCCCCAGGTTCTGGGATCAGCTTTGGACATCCTGGCCCACCGGGACCCCCTGGCCTGCCAGGAACATCCTACGAGGAACTACTCAGCATGCTCCGAGGTAAGGACAAGCAGGGACAGCCATCAAAAGGTTTGGGATGGACACTGAACCCACAGGAGTCAGCCTGTGACTGACTCCTTACTGCCCATTGATGTCCCAGGGTCGGACTACAGAGACATCATTGGACCTCCAGGGCCCCCAGGGCCACCCGGGATGCCAGGCAGTGCATGGTCCAGCATCAGTGTGGAGGACCTCTCATCTTACTTACACAGTAGGACACTAGGGAGCAGGAAGAGAAGGGCAGAGGGCTGCAGCCTGATCTTGAGGGCATCCCCAGTCCTCACTAAGACTGCCATGGAATCAACGTGCCATTCCCCAATGGAGCATGCATTAGATAGGTCCTGGGGCCCTGGAGAGGGCCACATGAGCCACAGCAGGGGAAGAAATAGGCAGAAACAGAGCTCCTAACTTGTAGCCCTTGTAGAACTCAGGGGCCATGGGATCAGTCATGTAATAAGGGTTCTGATGCCTGGTGGTGATGGTCTAGGAGGAGACAGGGTGTGGTTTGAGCAATGGAAAGGCCCCTTGGAAGCAGCTATTCCCAGTGATGCCAAAAAGAGACAGCCTAGGCCTCCTTCTTTCCCCTCCTGCATGCAAGAGGCCCGCTAGACATCTGCCACTCCCCCTCCCCCTCTCTTTAACCCCACCCATGGGGGCCACAGAAGGCCAAGGCCAAGCTCTGCCCGGGACCCTGACCTTCTTCCTTCCCTCCCCTCACAGATGCTGGCTTGTCCTCCATGCTAGGCCCTCCAGGCCCTCCAGGGCCCCCGGGTCCTCGGGGGCCCCCAGGTGTCTCAGCAGCTCTGGCTACCTACGCAGCTGAAAACAGTGACAACTTCCGAAGCGAGCTGATTAGCTACCTCACAAGTAGGTGCCTTGATGCTGGTCTCCCCGGGAACCCCCCAGACCTTCCTGTCCTGTGCAGTAGGCACAGATTGCTGGCAGTCCGGATAAACCAGTTTTTTTGCTCAGCAGCATTCTTCTGTGTATGTCCAAGGGCCTCAAAGTGCACTCTGTCACTAAGGGGTGTTAAAGCTCGAAACTCCCCGCTCCTGAGCCTTTTGTCCCCCACAGTCTGGGCTAATGCATCTTCCTACCCCACAGGTCCTGATGTCCGCAGCTTCATCGTCGGCCCTCCAGGCCCTCCGGGGCCACAGGGACCACCTGGAGATAGTCACCTGAGGGAGAGCTACAACTGGGGTAGCAGCTCCTCAGCCAGACGGGGCACTTCCTACGGCTCTTCCACGGGCATAGGGGGAGCCAATGGAGGCTCCCTGGGTGAAGGGGGAACCTTTGGCGCAGGAGATGGGGGACCCTATGGTACTGACACTGGCCCAGGCAGAGGCTACGGAGCAGCTGCAGAAGGTGGCATGTATGGCACCGATGGCGGGTCATTCCGGGCTGGCTTCACCGGAGACCTGGATTACAACAAGCTGGCTGTGCGGGTGTCAGAGAGCATGCAGCGTAAGTCGGGACCTATGAACCTCAGGGGGGAGGAGCATGCACCCAGCGTCGAGACTTCACAGACCGGCCCTCGCTTTTTATGTACCTGGGCTCTGTAGACAGCAGCTCTAGAATCAGATGGGACTGAAAGAGAGGAGATCCCAACCTAAATCTATACCATCTCAATGTAAGGGACCCCAGTACTGACCCCTGAGCTATGGGGAACACACCAAAGTGCTTGGTGCTTTGCTCGGAACAAGTCTGACAGTGACAGCTTTTTGACAGGACTTGTGGAGCTTGTAAGCTGAGATGTCCTTTCTCCCTGTAGCTATCAGCACAGTCCTGCAGCCCAAATGCCCGGAGGACCTGCACAACAGGTCAGGCCAGTCTTGGGCCAGCAGAGAAGGAAACTGCAGGGCTTTGGCCTGGGGCATTTCAAGTAGTTTAGCTGCTTTGAGTGAGGCAGTCTGAGGATACTCCATCTCTGCTGAGGCCCCTGTGGCATCTGCTTCCTACAACCGAACCCCACAATTCTGCAGGTCAGGGTCTGCTACAAGGGATGGCCTACACTGTCCAGGGTCCACCAGGCGCACCTGGGCCCCAAGGCCCTCCTGGCATCAGCAAGGTCTTCTCTGCCTACAGCAACGTGACACAGGACCTCATGGACTTCTTCCGGAGTAAGCGTATCTCCATTGCATTGCCAGCACTAGCCTGTCTGCTTAGTCTCACATGGGGCCTGACATACAAATACCAGCCTGATAATCTTTTCCCAGTAGCTGAGATGCCAAACCAGTGGGGCCTAGCTCTGGTTCCTCGTACAAGTCTAGATTCCACCATTATCTGTGTGGCTCTGAACAAACCACGTGACCTCCCAAGCCTCAGGCAAACACTAGTCTCAGGCTAGATTCTTTCCTTCCTTGCAGCTTACGGAGCGGTCCCCGGCCCACCTGGGCAGAAGGGAGAGGCGGGAACCCAGGGACCCAAAGGTAAGTGGCAGTGGGGTCATGTGTTACACCCGCCGCTCACTGAGAAGCACACGCGTGTCATACCCTCTCTGTCCTTCTAGGTGACAGGGGCCCTGCTGGACCACGAGGTCCTCCTGGGCCACCCGGCCCTCGAGGGAGCAAAGGAGAGAAAGGAGACAGAGGTAAGCACTGACAGGGTGGCTTCTGAAGTTCCAGGGTTCTGCAGAGAGGCTAGCCTGAGAAATTCAAGCAAAAACTAATGCAAAAAAATGGTGCTGTAGCTGGAAAGGAGGGAAGAGCAGAGCTTCCACAGAGGGAGAAAGAACCTGGTAACAAAATAGGGTAAATAATTTGAAAAGAGAGAGAGAGACGGTTTTTACAAAGGATTAATCTTTCAAGCCACCTTTTAGCAATCACTGTTGGTTGGTATCACTGGTCCTACGAAGGTCATAGGCCACGAGTTATTTACCCTACACATCTTTGAACTTTCAGGTGACCAGGTCTACATGGGGAGGAAGAAGAGAAGTATTGCCACCAAGCCATAAACTGCACTTGGCAGAGGCACCAGGTTCTTGGACCAGTTCTTGCCGTGTGCTTGGGTTCCCATGTCCAAGGGTCCCGGGCAGGTCAAAACTGGAATCGGCCCACATCCTGCTGAGACCAAGTCACCTAGCAACACTTGTTTTAGTCTGAACAAAATATACACATACAGAAAATTCAAAGACACATAATCTGAAACAGCTCCATTGGTTGGGCGGACTTTCGGAATAGCTACAATGTTTACTATGAGACTTAACCTCTGCTATGTAGATCTGAGCTCCCTGGCTTCTTCAGCACTTAGCTCAGCCTCGACCTCAGAAGCCAGCCAGTTACATACATGTTGGCTGGGGGGTCTTGGAGCTTTGCCTAAAAAATGAGCCCAGAACAATGGAAAACGGGAATGAGGGCCTCTGTGGGGGTGACGTGATGGGAGACATCTGGCTAGTTACAAAGGCTATGCTGTCAGCCTCTTCCTCCCCTGTTCACCCCGCATTCTCCAGTCACAGAAAAGAAGTGACACTCTCAAGTGAGGAACTCAGAAGTTCCTGGAAGGAGGTGACACTGCAGATGGTTATCACAGTAGAGATGCCAGTCACCTTCCCACTGGCTTACAAAGCCTGACTGGTCGTAGCTATGGCCTGTGCCCACAGGTGCATGCCACCACACTAGACCACAGCAGACAGGACAAGAGGGGCAGTGGCAAGGAAGGAAGAGAGGATCTGAGGAAACAGGGCTCCCACACCTCCGGCTCTGCACGTAGGAAATGGCACGGAAGACTGGGTGCAGTTTGTTTTTAAGCACTTTTCACTGTCTAAAAACATTTGTATGTAATCTGTAAGATGAAAAATCATTTCAATTGTAAAATTTTCAATTAAAAGTTTTTCTTTTTTAGTACGTTTACTATGAATCATGTGAGGAAATTAGTTTAAAAAAAAGGAATCTGGGTTAAATGGGTCTGAGTCTAACACTGTATCATAAACACAAGACGATTGGCTGTATTTTAGGCCCAGCCTTTAGCATTTTATCACTGAAATCTCTAAAGGCAGGCTTTTATCTGAAGCTACTGGCTCAATCTGGACCCTCTAGACAAAGCAGTTGGTTTTCTCTAAATTCCCTAAAATGGAAACAAATTAGCAGCTTCTTTGTGAAACTGATGTATGACAGGTGGCCAAACATACAGATCAAGATGTCTACCAAGGGAAATGTACACGTATAAAATGCCAAAAAAAATTGCATGGAAAAACCAGAGTCTGCACTTGGGCAATGGCAATTTGGCTGGGACTTTCAATTGCTGAATAATTAGGCATGGGGTAACCTAAGTCCGCTTCTACATCTGTACTCTTCCAAGCCTGGATTTACCTTTCTATGCTCTCTCCTGAGTACCTCCCATATCATCTTAGAGAAAACACACAATTTAGTTCCACTCCATCAGCAGCTGCGAGCCAAGCATCAAAGCGCCGCTGCGTGGTCTTTTGGCTGCCCTCGAACATCAGCATGAGAATATTTGCAAATGAATTCATATGGCCATCACAATTTCAGACAACTTGCTTTACCACCCATAGGGAAAAGAACCCACTACGTATAATAATGAATACAATGCATCTTTTAATTTTTAAAGAATTTATCAGTTTCATAATGAAAACCTTGTGAAACAGTACTTTTTACTTTGGAGCTCAAGTATTACATATTACTGTTTCCTACCCTGATTAACCAGACCTAGGAAACGTTCCCTTGTTACTAAGCTTTACAAAGACATCATCTAGGAATCTGCCTAGAGTTCTACACCCAGAAGAAACAGGAGAAAAGTCCCATTGTGCTTTCTCCAAACAAAATCCAGAAAGAGGCCAACAGACATGAGCCATGTTCTCAGCTGGACAGCAGTTGGTCTGAGCCTCTTTTGTTTCATTGGGAAAGGGGGGAGTGATCAGGAATGAGCTCAAGAGTACATAAGGCTCTGAAATTAGAAAATTACATCACTGCCTCCATCCAGCCTAGCTGCACACAGGCCAAGCAAGGCTGCCAGTGTCTATGAGTGGTGCTCAACATGCCGATGACAGAAAAACAAGAGAGTTTTTTGTTTTGTTTTGTTTTTCATTGATTTGAAATACTTGGTGAGAGAAATATCTATCCCTGGGAGAAAAAGCAAACAAAAGCACATATACACCTATATGTCAACACAAACATTTTAAGCATTTCCCAAGGAGGAGTTTGCATGTTGGAAAGTACTTAGCAGAAAAAAGGTAAAAATTACGTTTTGTCAGGAATGGGGAGGGTAGGGAGCCACAGATGGCTAGGATCAATGATAAACACGGACGAACAGAAGGCTGGGAAGAAGGTAAGTTTAAAAATACAACTAGGACCAAAGGGGGTGGGGAGAAGCTGCAAAGTGTCTCAGGCAGGACAATCCCATTTCTAAGTTTCACTTTGTTTTTCGAGATAGGGTTTCTCTATGTAGCCTTGGCTGTTCTGGACTCGTTTTTGTAGACCAGGCTGGCCTCGAACTCACAGAGATCCGCCCACCTCTACCCTCCTAGCAATGGGATTAAAGGTGTGCGCCACCACCACTGGCTTCATTTCTAAGATTTTTTTAATTAAAAAAAAAAAAAAACTTCCCAAAACAGATTAAGAAATAACTTTATTGTTTGACAATCCTGTGATTGAAAAGGCATGTTTCTGATCCCAAACAAACAAGAAGCATAATGTGAAACAAAACTCTTTGAAAAGTTACCTTGTGAACTTTTTACACTGCAAAGAATCAAATTTTTAAGCTGCAGCCAACATCTGAAACTGGTAAAACACTCTATTCCAAGCTTTGTAGCAGAAATTTTCAAGCGTTATCAAAACCATGTCAGCCAAAGAGCAGCAACAGCAGAGGCACTGACTGTGGCGTCTGACTTAAGGGAAGCATGGAAAATGCCACCGCGTCCTACAAGAAGCATTTTCCAGAAAGGACCAGAAGGCTCTAGAGCTGACGCTCTCTTCTTCCACTGCAGTTCCAGGGATTTTATTCTGCAATATTTCTAGCTATTAATTTGGCCAAATTTGGCTTCTTTATCATTTAATAAGCACAGTGTAGAATGGGGGAAAGCATGGTACAAGGGACCTGAAAGAGTACAAAAAACAGTCACTTCTGAGACTTGCTGATGCTCAAGAAATCAGAGAGCCTCCATGGGGAAGGTCTCATATGCCTGAGAGCGTGTGCTTAGGAAACACTGCTTAGAGGTAGCTCTGGTTCTGCTTCTTACTTAGTTACAACTTGCCATGTCCTGTCATGTGGGAAGCTTCCAATATTTTCAGCAAAGTAAAAGCACTCTGAATTTCCTCCTGACTCACAGAGAAGGGCAAGAAAGAGCTTACTAGGACTCCATCTAAAACAGCAGCTAATTCCGAGACCCACAGCCTGTGGGCCGACAGGCCTGGGGAGAAGCCCTGTGTTCAGGCTGTAGGAGCTGGACCTGTGGGTGTGGCGGAGGTGTGGCGGAGGTGTGGCGTGTCCACAGCATGCGGGGAAAGGGGAAATGACTGTTAAGGGTACACACATGGACAAGCTCCTTTATGTACTGCACGGCACATTCGGCACAGCAACCGAACAACCTAATCAGGAATGGATTCACTGTACTCTCAGATTTCAAAGGAGCCTGTGGCCCTCAGCCACTCCCCACCTTCATGCAGGAAGAATGGTCACTACTATCTACGTAAGGCCTTACAAGGAGCAGGCAAGTTTGTTTAGAAACAGCACGTTCTAGTACAAAACACTTACTATACATAACCTGAAGTGTTGAGATGAGTGTTCCCTTCTGCATGTACCACGGACAGTCCCTGCACCCACAGGAATACAGCCATGCTCGAAAGAAAACTCAAGCAGGAGCAAGGGAATCCGGAGGGCAGGCTCAGGGAGACACTCCTTACATAGCCTGCCTCCCAGATATAATGCTCTAAATGTCAAGGAACAGGAAGGGTGATATTCAGACCAAATCAGGTCTGAATTACCTGAATGATACTGAAAATAAAGTCCACTGACTGAGTCATTTGTAAAAATCCAATGAACTGAGAATTTCAAAGGAGAAAGTGGTACGAGAGCCTTCCTTCCCTCTCCCTCTTCAAATAAATCGTTAAATACACCAGACAACATAATACCGTCTTTTATCATAACAATATAAACGATTTCCATCATCATCCTGAATATTACTTTATAAAGATATATATTTAAAGGCTTTCAAACAGTTTTCAACCCAGCATCTGAAAATAAAGCATTAAAGAGTTCTGTATACAGTTACACATTCATGTGATAAGTGTATGAATTTACAACCATACATTATATATATGTATATATATATATATTTATATAAAAACAAAATTGGCTAAAAGTTAAGGCTACCTACAAGGTTTTTCAGGAAAACTATGCTAGTCAAAATAATAACAGAATGAAAATTACACATGCATTTATAAACATCTAAACCAGGTAAGTTCGGCATCCATAGTTCTCAGATGAACTGCAGGACAGCACTGCAAACATCTGTATTTTCTTAATATGAACTGCTGTTCCCACAATATTAAACTGAGATTTCTATTTTTTACCAACCTCAAAATATAACTGAAACCCAAAATGTTTACAATATGGTACCTAGCACTCTTAGAAGAGAACAGGTTGCCAATGGCAGGCAGGGAGCATCATTCACAAATGTGCTGTTTATAATACTGTTGACCTGACATGTGGCTGAGATTCTGAGCTTCAAAAGAAGCAAAGAATGAACATTTCATTAACAATCATATGTACCAGCAACCACGTGATAAAGATTTCAGGCTTTGCCTACTCAAAGTAATTACTTTAAACATGAAACAAAATTAAAATAAAACCAAAATTCACTTGAAAAACCTTATTTGAAACAATACAACGTCACTTTGGATGTGTATCTGATATGAATGAAAATCGTTTGTAGACAAACAGTTCTTTTAAGACTAATTTCAGAGCGGTAGTGACGACTGTAGCTCTGGGCACAGAGGCCTCTAAGCTATTAGTGGTAGACAGAACTTGCTGAGATGTAGGATTATTATTTAGGAGGAAGTGGGAGAGCTCAACCAACATGGACATTTTAAAAGTAGTTCTTTCATCTTCCAAACTTTGTGCAATATTTGTTTTAGGATGTAATTCTCAAATAGTAATAAGAGCAAATTTTTAAAACAGTAATGTTCAGTGAGAAGGGTACTTTGTTCCTGTAGAGCACAAGGAAAACCACATCTTACATATGCTTAAAATTTAGTGTTTCAGGCACTATCTTAATAAAATTAGCACCTAATTATTAGTGTCTGCCCATACAGGCTAATGTTTGTAACAAATTACTGAAATAACTTTTCTCTTTTAAAAGATTTTGATTCTGTTTAATGATAAAAATATATCTATGTACTGAATCAATAGCATATTTCTGTAACTCATGGCTTTTTAGTAAGAGCTAGTTTACCAAAACAAAACAAAACAAAAAACAAAAAACAATTATTCCAATTCTACAGCAGAATCCTAACTATAGAATTTAACATCATTGACGAATCAGGTAAAACAATATTTATTAATACTTAGTGATGTAACAGTTTTTTTTTTTTCCAAATAACTTTAAACATTATTTCTCTGGCAGTTTTTCAATAACAGTGTCTAAAGAATACAATATTTAAGGTCAATATACAAAAATCACCTTAGGGAATTACTGCAAGATGCTACTTTGCCAACATGGCCCAGCATCTATATTAGTTCATCTGCCCATCATCTTTGTTTAACAATAAAATCCAAGAAAGAAATTTTAAAAACCACCAAGAAGATGAAACAGGTGATTGTCTTTGTGAGTCACACATACTGTGGAAGATGAAGAGAATACAATGATGTACTTAGACGCTAAATC